TAGCCTTGAATCCTGTCCTAGGAATATGTTACATCATCTGACAAGCAGTAAACCAATTTGATTTACCATTCAGGACTCTTTTGGTAGGGACTAATAGCTTGACTTGTTATCAGCAATAATCTACCGGGTAATGATAACATTATGTAGCTAATATTTACCATTGCAAAATAAAGTATACAAATATATTGCATGATCCCGTGTTTATATGGAAAAATAAAACAAATTCTGAATTTCCTGAGTGATGTTATATTACCTCAAGGCCGCAAGCCACAAGGTAGAAATGTAATGGCACAAGGAAATTCTGGAATTGGAGGTGAATAAATGTTATATTCAACAACGCCACAGAACACATGCAATATTTGTTGTATAAAATTGAGGGTATTTATGACTCTTTGGAGTCGGGCCTTCTTGATTGCACTTGCACTCGGGTTGTCTTCGCATTAGATGCGTGCAGCTATGACAAGGCAAACAATGGGTATGCGCAGTCTAATTCACTTCTAAACATGTTGTACTGTGCAAAAAAGGTTGTTATATGGCACGCACATGCACATGTAACGAAACGCTGAGTGTCGCATGACGCCCTTTCAGCCCCGTAGAATACCAAGATTGTAATCAATATTTATCATACTCAAATCTTTTCAATTGTCCTTCTTTGTATATTTTCTTTGACAGTTTGATGTTCCTCGTATCCCGTATAAATCAGAGATGGAAATCAACGACCAGTTTTACTACGATTTCAACTTTGAAGCCCAGACGAAGCAGAGGTTAACGATGTGTGATTCACCATAGCATACTGCATCATAGAAAATTTGGAGTCTTGCAAGCGTACGATTAAAATAGTTCAGATTCAATAATAGTACAGTCAAACCTGTCTATAAAGACCACTCAAGGGAGACAAGAAAAGTGGTCTTTATAGGCAGGTGGTCTTTAAGTACAGGTCCCTTTAGTAGAGGTTTCAATGAGAAACCATATTTGAGGGGAAATAATGTGGTCTTTACAGACAGGGTGTGTTTTTATACAGGTGGTTGCTAAAGCAGGTTTGATTATAGTAGGATTCAATATCATGATTGCAGAGACTTTCTAGAAATCAATGCTTAAATGCCCTGTTTTTATCATCAGTAGAAATCATTTGATGTCATTGTAATATCTCACTTTTAAAAGATGACGCACATGGCTATTGACATTGTGTTATGTTGATGTCTTGGAAATCGTTGCAATCCTGTTTCCTCAGAATCCGGCAAACTTTACCCTAAATATGTTGGACTACTCTTTTTTCATATCAGATAACATTTTGTGGTGCCACTAACCCAATGGTATATCAGGGTCCTATCTTACAAAGAGTTGCAATTGATCCAAATCAATCACAATTCTTCCAATCAATCGCAAGTTTGCAGTCTCCTATCTCTTATGTACATACGTGTAGTTGCGATTGATATCAGTCGCGAGTAAGTTGTGATTAATATCAACTCTTTGTAAGGCAGGGGCCCAGGATTCTTAAATATGGTGAATAGTTCGAATATTTTGAGGCAGTTTGTTTTAATTTGTTAGTGTTCTCTGGAGCTTCTTCATCATGCTTTCCATTTGAAAGATCATGAAGAAAAAAAGAAAAAAAAAATCCTTATCTAATAAAAACTTAGAATAACTGGAAAAATCTTGTTATTTTAAAATTGCAATGAAGTACACCTTTCAGAGATGATCTTGCCTAACCCCAACATTTATTATCCCAACGTTTTTTTTCTTTTCCGAGCCATTTTGAAGATTGCAATGGTTTAGATTTTGTACACTATGTCACATGTTTTTTCTACAGCTCCTGTTCTCCAGAAGCATGAAGTGAATTGTCATTTGATTTCTGTTCCATAATATCATTGTGACATCATTATATGACTGGTTTATCATTGTTATGTAACAATTCTGAACATTTTGAGTGTATGTATATATGAAGTTGCTTAGCAACCATATTTTTAAAGTTTTTACCAGGGAGGCTATGTATCACATACTGCATATTGCATGACCTATCGATCTCAAGGTTTGCTCAAGCCGACTATAATTGGTTGCTTTCCCTGGCTGGGTAGGTCCCAGAAAGGGAGAAAACAATTAGCCAGATGGTGTCTTTTATTGAAAGAAATGGTTTTATGTGCACTAAGTCACATTTTTTGTGTACAGCTCCTGTTCTCCAGAAGCATAAAGTGAATTATCATTTGATTTCTGTACCTTGATATCATTATGACATCATCATTTTATGCTTGACTACAATTTCTCTCCATGTTGAAGCTTTTTGACCTTCGTAGATTTTTTTCTTCATTTTTAGCTTAGATCAGAGGAAATATATCAAGAAATATGACACTTATAAATTATTTTGAAATGGGACACAATTATATTAAATACATGTACCCTAGAATAGTCCTTTAATGTATGTCTCAAGCCTAGAAGATATGATTTCTACCCCCCCCCCCCCCCCCTCCCCCCCCCCCCAAAAAAAAAAAAAAAAAAAACCTAAATATCAAAGAACATCTTTATAGATTTTGAAAATAGTCAGTGCTCTCCTCCCCCTCCAAGATTTAGATTGAGATGTCAGCAACAGGTTGAACTGTTAGTTTACAAAGATGTTTTCAGAAAAAATTTTAAGCAGTGCAGATTGTCAAATAAATTGCACCCTCGAAGCTGCTCTCCCCCACCTTGAATGCTATTTCAGATTTTAAATCAATCATAATGCCTGCAAGACAAACAACTTGTAAATATGAAGCATCGTCGTTTACACTTAACCAGAGTTATTAATTCATTGTCAGATTAACTTGCCTGTAGTTTATATCAAATTATTAATTTGCATCTATTGAGTTGGCTTATATACTTAACCATAAATATTTAAATGTTTAGCCTTTTTCCAGGCAGATTTCTGTCTTATTTGTTGTTTAGTTTTTTTAATCATGAATCTGTTTTTCTTGTAGATAAGTGTAAATATATTTTTAACTTATGCAACATTTTGTTCGGGCTTAGTTTGTATACTAGTTAGCACAACAAAATCAAAGAAATTATACAATGCCAGTAATTTTTGCAATACTCAGTATGAAAATATCATGTACGTCTGCATGTCTACATTGTTTATTCTTTGAAGAAGTAATAAAATAATCGATATGTAGACATTCAATTAATCAAATGTATCTGTGTCCAAAATTGTTTACATGTCCTTGTGCATATTCTCTCCTGCACAAAACTCATTGTTTTTCTCCACTCATCCTTCCTTCTAGTTTTATTTTTATCCATGCTTTATATATCTTATTTTATATTTTAACTTTATGATAATCGTTTCTGTGCATAATCTGAATCAAGTATAACTAGAAAAACATAAGCAGTAATTTTGCAGTGGAAATGTTTAATTTGAATAATATCCTTCTATTTCAGCCTCTCTCCCTCTTTCTCTTTCTCTCTCTCTCTCTTTCTTATTCCCCCTTTATCGTGTTTGCTCTCTCCACCTTCTCCCCCTCTCTTTTATCACATTATACTCTGATAATTTGTTTAAGTATTTGTTTTCATTTCAGGGTAATATAAAAAAGAAAAGAAAATCATGACACTAAGAATAGACGTGAATAACAATATGACGCATTAATTATACAAACCCTGATCAATGTATTACTTTTGAGCATAGGTCCAGCCACTGAAGGAGGGGGGGGGGGGGCACCTGTTACACTCGGAAAATGATATACCAATTTATAATGCCTCTCATCGGGGAAGGATATGGGAGTGCACATGGGTTCTTTAGTATTCTTTTCACATGCCCGTTTCATCCATTCTATCCCTTCTGTTCCTTTGCTTCTTCTTCATTTGAAGTTGGGGGGGGGGGGGGCGCATTTCCCAGCCCCCCCCCGTATAGCTTCATCATTGTTTGTAACGGTTTCTTATAAAAACACTACTGTCATAGAATGGCCGACTCGGAGAGAGGAGAATGAGTTGCTGTAATTGCCTTCTTTCTTTTTATTCATGCTTTCATTTTTGCGAGTGGCTATACTCTGTACCAAATAATGGTGATGAATTAAACATGATTATCATGTTTGATCAAATGATCAATATAATCATGTTATCATGTTGTACTTATATATATTTACAGTTAACAATTAACTAAACATTCATATACCCTTTGTAAATTTGATATGGTTTTTTGTTACTCAAGAATGAAAGACGGAATTATTGAATTATGTTCTATATGTATGGTTTAATATGTCTCATTTTCAAGGAACATAAATCATGACAATTCAATTTTTCACATACTTAAAAAATTACGAAACTTGCATGGTAAGGGTGTGAATAATTTAGTTAATAACTAAACATGTTTTAACTGTATTAATTTCTTATTAATGTATTCTTTATTACATCTACCCCTCCTCTCATGACCTATTGTGACGTGAGAGTGTGTGCCCCCCGCAAATTTGCGCTGCATGATTGGAATTTATACGTACCAGTTTTATGAGTAGGCTCTATAGCTCGTAAATATTAACGCAATTCATGCCTTTGTACGATGTATATAAAAGAATAACATATTATTTTTAGATTCTCAATTGCGTTGAAAATATTTTATACCCCAAAGGTATCATGACAAAAGAATCACTGGTCCGGGGCCATGTTATATTACTTAGGTTCATTGATACTGTGTTTCACAGAACTGAGCTAAATTCCAGTTAGGAGCATATCCTCTGTCCTCTCTGCCCCTCTGACGCATATTGAACAGTTTATATGGATTCATTTCCAAGACCCCATGTTCCTCATTCTTTGGTTAACACGTCATTTAAGAACGACATTCGCCATTTCAAAAGCAAACAAATCCCATTTGATTTCTTCCCAAATACCGGCTACAATACCGCCACCGTAGAGTAAGCCTACCGAACCAGACGATCATTAAAACAAGCGGTTGCTAGGGATTTGCTGTTTCACGCTTTTTTCTTCTTTACCGCGCCAGTGAATTTCTAGCACGTCACGTTCTACTCAAATAACGACTAATTCTTTGAGGCAATCGTTAAAAGCTTTTATAGAAAGGGTCACGCGACACTGCCTCTCGCCATGTATTATTCGTGAAAATTGCAATAACAAAGAAAGTTTCTCAGATATACCCATACCTGGATTGTATGTACCCAAAGAAGCTTATTTATCAGCATACTGAACAATTAAACAACGACTAATTATATATGAAGGCCTACACGTGTGTTTTTGTTTTTTAGTTCGGAGAACTTTGGCAGACTTTACAGCGAGAATGAGCTTAGCATAGGCTTGCCCTCTTAAGAACTCTGCAGAGCAAATATTTTAGAAATAAAAGCCGAACAGTAAATAGTTAGACATGTCGGCCTCGATAACGTTTTGTACGTATGTGCAGATGTGCAGATGTGATACAGTTTTCGACAGTGAAGAAAACTGCGTTGGAAATCTTTCAAATCAAGTTGCTGAGAAGCGAATATGATTCTGGTAAGTTGATATGATTATATTTGTTCTAATTTACGTTGCTCATTCTTACTCTTTTCTTTTATAAACGTTATTAAATAAATCCAATAAATAGTTCCCTTTCTGTCATAGTGACTTTTACTTCCATTAGCTAAAAGTGACATATAATGGTAAGTGGCTACATGGAATCTAACCATATCTAATTCCAACACCCATTATATGAAATATAGCTAAAGAGAATGTCAGTTTAAAAACCTAACCAAGCATTTCAAATGATTATTGGATATAACTGAAACTTGGAGACTTTTCCATGAATAAAAAGTCTTCATTACCGTGCTAAACATAGAGTGTTATAAATGATAATGTGATAATTTTTCTTAAATTTAACTTAAAAAAAAGACATGTGATATAAAATTATGCTTACTTCTATGAAAATTATTACATTTAAAACACTATACAAGGTCTGTACATCAATCCGGAGACACTTTACCCACAGCTTTGTAGACTAAAAGTGTTGAAAGATATATTAAAAGGGTTTTCGCGACGCACTTTATCTCTTATATTATGGCATCATCAACCACGCGTGAGGTCTAAAGTTGGTTGTAAATTTAGTTTTAATAGGATATCATATATACTGGGAAGTGAACTTTGCCGTTCCCTCTTAAATCTTCAACCGTCTATTTATGGACAATTTATATAATGCTTTTTGCCATATAATTCGTATGACTATATATGAGGAAGTGTGATAGATGCGAAAAAACTGACACCAATCTACAGTTCTCACCAAACCGGCATTAAACATGTGCCGTGTCCTAGCAACCATAAACAGAAAGCCTCGAAAATTTATGCTACAAAGTGCAAAAGGGTTGTGCATTTCCACGTCTAGATACACACTTCAGCGTTTTATACGATACCCGTATATTAACAGGAAACTATTCAGCCATTTCGTCTACCGGAACCTCTTCACATGAAAGCAAGTAGAATTACTCGTATCGTTTGTGTATAAAGCGTATAACTTCCTCATGAACTCGTAGTTATAATTTGTCGGAGTTTTTTTTTTAAGTCAGTGATTAATACAAATAATAAAATAATAATAACATTCCGCTGTTATATAGCGCTTAATACATCAACGACCATCCACTGATCACAGGACGTAGCGGAATCGGGGGCTCCGGGGGTTTCAGGGGGGGGGGGGCTATTGTCCCCCATCGAAATCGTCAAATACTTAATACTCGCGTGTGCTATTTCAGTTCGAGTTTGAATTTAGTTTATTTTCATATTTTACATTCACATTCATTACATAAATCCTAAGCAATAAATATTAAGAATTAAAACAATTATTCTTTCAATAGGTGTAAAAATACATACAATAACATCAGACCATGACAGTAATAAAACAGTCGAAATAACGTACGTAGATATAAGTACAAGTGCATGGTAATTAAACTGAAATTAGACAAACAGAATTTGTGGTGAAGTATGGGAGAATCTATAGTAAAAATCTAAGCTTGTAAATCATATATTCCTTGTATATTCCCTTTTCCTTCCGTTCACAGTATACAACAAATGCTCTCTGCCAAACTCCGAACCATTCCCCCCTTTAAAAAAAACATTATTCATTTTATTGTATAAATAGAATGATGTACTGATGGTTCTGAGTAATGCGATAACACACAGTTATTCTGCCCCCTTCCTTCAGTCAAAGAATCCTTGATCGTCCATTGGGTCAGCAAGTAATTATTCTGTGCAAGAATCACCCTAACTTTTATGACAGGTTCTATATATATCTTTGTCTCTTTTATTCTTTTCCTTCGTCCCGTCGACTAAATGACGGTCATTTGGCATAATTGGGGCTCTGAGTAAACAAGGATTGATAAAAAGGTAGTATAACCCAGGTAACGGGATGTATTCTAAATCACAGTGGTCGCTCGTACTGGTTTCTTGTCTATATAGTATAAAAAATGTGTCTTATTTGCCGGAGGGAAAGAATTCAAAGAGATGTGTTTTTGGGTAGGCATATAAATTAAAACTATATTTTTTTAAAGCGTGATATGAATATTGGGTACCAGAAACGAAACAAAACAGCCGTGATAATTAGAAACTTGAATTTACCCAACACTTCCTAAAATGGGGAAATTTCAAGATTCGAGGTTCAAGATATTTTATTTAACCATAGCCATAAAAACATACAAATTAAAATACAGTCTTGATTATGGAAAAGACCAAAAGGAAAGCAAATGCTTGTCAGGAATGACCCTGAATGAGAGAGAGAGAGAGAGAGGGGAAAAACAGTATACCAAATAGATACAGATTCAAATTAATCACTAAATATATAATAATTGATAATAAATAAATTTGGGATTCAGGTATGCCTAGACCTACCATGGGAATTTCGGTCGACAAAATAAAAAAATGATTCCATGATATTTGTCCTCATGTGTCTACAGAATTAAGTCGTCTTCAGTGTTCGTTTTTACCATATTAGATATAAATTTATTACAACTTGCAGTTGAGCTCAATTGCAAAAAATATTGAAGTTATATGATTAGCTGTTTAGGGTATCCATAATTGTTTCTTCTTTTCAAAAATTCGACATTTTAAAATGAACCGAATTGGACTTAGGTAGGGGACAGTATCCCCTTCCTGAACGTATTAGAATGTAATTAAAAATGGTACCTTTATCTCCCAAACATCTTCCTCTGATGTAATGCGAGATCTTGTCAGGACCGCTGTATACTAATGCTTCTATCTGACCGTATAGGCCTACTCTTCTCATGCAAGGTCCCGAGTAGGATTAATTAGTTAAATTGTATGTGTCCAGCGGAGGGTAACCGAGTGCCAATAGTATAACTGCATGGGGCTTGCTTGACAATAATTGAAGACGCACTCAAACTCTCGGGGCTTATAATTATGACGTAGATTCAGGTATTATGACGTAGAGTAATACGGCTTCAGCAGGAAAATGGTTTTCATATTTTAAATGCGGATAACTAAGTAAAGATCGATGCTGAAATAAAAAACCCTTTCGGTACATTTTATGAAACACTCAGTCAATGCCATCGTTTTCAGCATTAAATCATATATATTTTCTGTATCTTTCCCAGTCTTTCCCCTTACATCATGAACAATAGAATCATATTGTCTTGTATCAATACAGGATAGATCTTATCTAAACTATTAGTCGATAATATTATTGACTCTTCCATAAAATCACTACTTCTGACCTTTCGAACCACTTAAAAATCGTCATTCTTCAAGACGTAGAATATGATACTAAGTTTCTCACGATCTAAATCCTATAAGTAACAGTGGTAATTAAGCAAGTTAACAGTGCAGGCTTAAAAGGTTTTGTAGATATATCTAGTATGACATCGATTGGACTGATATGCACAGATCCCTTCACAGATAGTAACTATCGAAAATTGTTATAAACATCAATAGAGCGGTAATGTATCAGTTTTCGTGCTTTGATGTTGTTTGTGTTGTTGTTATCATGGTTGTTGTGTTTTGTTTATGTTTTCGTTTTTTTCTTTGTCTGTGAAGCATGTGCGTGGAAAGAAAAGAGTCACTGTAATGTTAGAGATTTGTAAGCGCGATGGTTAAGTGGTAGGGAAGTGGTCTCGTAACCGGGAGATCCAGGGATCGAAATTAAGTATTAACAAAATTTGCTGCGTATTTGCTTTTATTAGGAAGGCTTTAATCCTCATTCCCGTGCCCTTTGGAGTGGACTTGAAGTTTCAATACCAGCATTATGGAATTTTGATAACTGAATGTAATGAAAGACCACCACCACCACCACCACCACCATTATTGGTGATAATGAGTCACCCTGTCTAAATATTATAAATAAATAAATAAATAAATAAATAAATAGAACTGAAGGTGATACAATACTGTGCAAATAAGTGATACAACCTTTATGACACTTTATATTAGAGATAACAAATAATCGCCATTGTTTCATGGCTTTGTTTACATACTGTATCAGCTATTTTGATCGGTATAGATACTGCCACTTCACTGACTGAAACGTGTCTTTAGAATTTGATGAGCCTCTTAGTCTTATCAATTAAAAATGAATCGGGATAGGATTTCGTGACTATTTGGAGTTATGAGCTCATTTCTATTTTTTTTCTTTTTATCTAACCCTCGATTTTAATTTCTCTCGCTTATCGTCTATGTTCTCTCTTTTTCATCCTACGTTTCCCCCTCCCTCTGTGTCTCGTTCCCATTTCAACAGGGTTTTCAACCTACCCCCCCCCCCCAACCGTCTCTCTCTCTCTCTCTCTCTCTCTCTCTCTCTCTCTCCTCTCCTCTTCTCTCTTTCTTGCGCTTGGCGCTTACTATTTTTCTCTCACCTGCTATCTCTCATATTTTTGCTCGACATATATTTTCCTTTATCTCTCCCCTCTCGTCCCCCTTTTAATTTTCTACCGTCCTATCACCCCTTTTTCATATTGTGTCATTTTAAAAAATGCCTCTCAACTGAATTCAAAATTTCAGCTGTTCCATTTAATACAAAATGTCTGGTGCTTATGCTCGTTCATTATGCTTTCTCTCTCTCTCTACATTAAAGGTAATACAAAGTTTTGGGAAATATGGAAAATTGGCTGGATAATGATTCTTTATAATTTTGATATATTTGGATGCCCCTGTGGATGTATTATAAGCACCAGAAAATTTGGTCCCTAAAACACTTCTGCTTTCAAAGAAAAATTGAATATAAAAATTTACCGGTGCTCCCGGTAAATTTTGATAAATATCAAATAGCGCCTACGGCCATACAATGGTAGCTGCGACCATGAAAATCTCAGAATGTGTATTTGTGATATGTAATTTCCAAACGGGATAAGCCAATTCGTCGATTTTAGTCAGGAAACATTGTTTATAGCTAAATTAATATCTTGACCTTGAGAGGGAGCTATACAACATAAAGAGCTTATTATTTACAATATCATCACTTTAGAGTTGATTTCAACCGCGACAACGATCACTGAATAATTTATTGTAGGACCGCATATGTTTCCAATTTGTTCTTTTGAACCAAATTCATGACCCCCATACCAAAACTTTGTAATATCTTTAAGTGACACCCCTAGCTCAACCCGAGCCATCTTTTTACACTGCATGGACACGTTAAGGATCAAACTCATTACATTCTTTGTAATTTATATAGGGATTCTTGACAGCTGTTTTTGATGAGAGCATTCTGTAATCACAGGGGAGGGGAGGGTGGTGGTGGTGGGGGGGGGGGGGGGGGGGGGGGAGGTAAAAACTGTATTAAAAAAAACCTCACAAGCATGCAGATGATAAATTATGGTAATTCCTGCTGTCATACAGATTATAATATTGACAATTGCGCAGTGTCTTCTTTATTCTAACGAACCCCCAAGATCCTTTTCTCTGTACCAGGGGGGGGGGGGGGGGGGGGGGGGGGGGGGGGGGGGGGGGGGGGGGGGGGCGGACACTTTTTTTTTTTTTTGTCTCAAAATTTCAAAATTTGACATTGTTTACGTATGGGGGGGGGGGGTAAGGTCACCTTATTTAGGTTAGCCGTGGGTATAATTTTTTTTTTTTTTTTTTTTTTTTTTTAATAAAAAAAAAAAAAAAAAAAACAAAAAAACAAAGGGGGGGGGGGGGTTTTAGGTTTTTTTTAGGGGGGTTTACATACATTAAAATACCAAAGGGGGGGGGGTTTGAACCCCCAAAACACCCCCCTGCGTACGCCCCTGCCTCCTTGTATTATATAGAGTGTATTATGAAATCATTATAATACGCACTCATAACCTGCTACCAATTTAAAGAAAGAAAAATTTGCTCTGAGGCTAAATTAGGTTCACCCGATCACTTTTTTTTGTCTCTGCCACATTATAAAATCTGAAGTGTTCAAATCGACATTTTTAATTAGAAGGGACGAGGGGTGAAATCATTCTCAAAATGGTAGATAACACATTTATCATGGTTGATTCAACACTATTGAGGTTAATAACACCATGTTAAAAGTGTTAATCAATACTGTCACTCATTGGCCCTTTGAAGTTTCGATTTTTAATTTGAGTTTTTAAAATGAATGAATAAATTTACAGGGGTGACACTCTGCTGTTCCATGCTTATAGCTTGAGAGTTCGACGAAACTTGAAGGCGATATACACACCAAGACCCGACCTATTTCATCTTGATGTAGCACATATTTTTCGATAGGCTTTTTCTAGCTTAAACATTGTGATAATATGGAATGGAAGTTCATTGAGTTGACATTCAATCTAGATGTTTAGAGTTCGAATCCTTGACCCGTGTGTATTAGTTGATACCAGGCATTCAATCCGAAGTTGTCGTTATCGTCAATCGTTATAAATAAACACATCACAGAATGTATTTCTATTAGCTGCTAAGGCTGTTTAGTCATTGTGGGCAGAATAGAAAAACAACTCATAAGCAAGGATAATAATTTCAGAATGCAACAGGATGATACAGCAATAAATATGAGCTATGCACAAACACACACACAGACGGAATATAAATTCGTTTCATCAATCATTAATCAATGGTGATGCGTTTACCACCCCCCCAAAAAAAAATGTATCGTCGCCCCGATTAACAATACCACAAATTTCATTTATATATATATATAATGTTACGATTGACATGAGCTGTGCATTAATATTGTTTGGTAATAATTTTGTTGCACTTTTGTCAGAAACTGATAATCACAATTATTGATAAACTCATACAAAAGCATCAATTCACATTCTGGTATTTTCCAAAGTTGAATAGGGCTATCTTTGTTAAAGTTTTATGTTTGCCCATTATTGCACATACTTTTTTAAACCTCATATAGAGGTTGTGCATGGCGGGCATAGGTTTTCCCTTAAATATTTAAATTTATCGACAATGTTTTGTTGTTCTTTCTTCTTTCGTCTACAGAATTTCAAGCTTCACTTTGATCACGCTGCTTGACTTTAACACGTCAACATGCTACATGGGTTGAAAGACATTGTGACGTCACGTTAAGCCCTGTGTCAGATAACTACTCGCAACACCATTATCACATGATATCGTCACTGTCTGCTTGAGAAAACTTCAAGAGGAACAGCGATCGATAAAATTTGTTCGCGAGAAAAGTACAGGTCAGTGCGTGCGGAGAAAAGGAGAGGAGCTTCATATCGCGCGGAGACGCGCGGCCATCACGACTCACCGGGGACTGTTCTGTTACAGGAAGTGAATCCCAGCAAAAAAAAAAGGGAGTCTCTTTCATGTCTTCTGCGGCACCTGGAAGGAGCTTTTCAATTAGAGGAACTCAAGAAGAAAAAAAGAGCAGGGGGTAAAGAAAAAATAGGTTTGATGAATCAACGGCAAATCAGTGAAGCAAGTAGTATTGATTTTTGAGACACATGAGTCGAGCCTTCTTTATTCGCCTCCTCTTTGCAGACGACTGTTAATCTTAGTAACAGATTTGCATTCGTTAAGTGTTGTTATATGGTGTTGTGGACAGAACAGTTCATCGACGGTTGTATATAGAACCTCGATTGAAGGATATTTTTATTGAATCTTATACGAAATATGTTTGAATATTTCTTGTTGGATTAAGTTTAAACGCTGATGTACACTTTATTAACTTAATGATTTGATGTTTTGACATCCGTCTTGTGTACGTCAGTGGAAACCCGATGACAGTTCCTCGACCGATTGATGTGCTACAGCGAGCTTGAAGATGCAAGTGCATTTGGATATATTTATTGGATGAATATAGATTTTATTTGATTGCCAGTGTATTTTCTGATATGGTTTTAACAATGGGAGATGATTTTTATCGACAACGAACAGCCACGAGCGGGCGACGGGTTCGGCGGGAATCGGATGCGAGGCGCGATCTCGAACGCATGCATCTGATGACGATACGGCGAGAGAAGATGAGATTGCAAGAAGAGTTGGATCGTGTACGCGTCAAAGGAGGAGGAAAAGCAGGAATGAGCCAAGCAAGCAAAAATGCCCAACTCCTGTCGAGTCGTTTCGTGACGACTGCCAACGATAAAGGAGCGAGTCAGCGACGAACACGACTACGAATATCGACGGCGACATCGCCACAGAGAGCGACATCGCCGTATGTTCTACGACGGAACACGACCAACACGAAGTTGGGCTCGAGTATGAACCCAGATAAGGAACTTCCTCAGATCGGGTACATGGCAACACCGTTGACAGGAGAGCTGGACTCCAGGAGGCTCAAGGATGAAGTAAGAGACCCGAAAACGAAAATTAACGAACTGAAGAAGAACGAGGGGCAACAGAAGAAACTTTTGTCGCTCAAAGTAGACATGTTTACTCGATCTCTTTCCCCAGTCTCTATCGCAAGCGCTCGGTCACCGGGCCGATCACCCGTTCATAGCCCAACGTCAAAGCCCGAGGACAAACATCCAACAATGGATGATGTCGACGTTACGTCGTCTGACTATGTATTTAGTCCTAGAGCGACATTTCCACCGGGGGCAAAGAAAAGGGGACATTTCGACATTTCGAACACTCGGCTAGTGCCCATAGACGTCGAGGTGAATGGCATGGGTAGCGATCACGGGCTAACTCAACGCGACGACGTTCTACCCACGATATCGAACACGCAGATAGTCCCAACTCCACTACCATCTCGACCAACTGTCATCCGCCGACAGAGTCAAGTCGCCATTTTGGAACGAAACGACCAAAAGAAGAACAAATACGCCACTACTAAAGATTCAAAAGATTCCAGTAGGAACAACAACAGCAAGGGCGACGCCGCAAAGCTATCCGTGGAATCTGAACTAAACCTTGCCGTTCTCGGTCGCGACGCGAAACGTGTGAAGGAGATCATTGAAAACCCTGATATCGTGTTCGACCAGCAGAAGTACGCTCCCGATGGTGCGTTGAGGACCGTTCACATGTTGCCGCCTGCGGATAACGCGTTTTCACAGGCCAGACAGGCAAGGTACCTGAGGTGGAGGGATCCCAATGAAACGAACAGAGAACGGGAATTGACCGTTTCTGAAATATTCGCCAAAGGCACAAATAGCTTCTAATACAACAGTGAATGGGGGGGGGGGGGCTGACGGTACCATGTAGCTACGTCACTGAATGTTGGAAATAAACAATCATCCGAAAGGGAAGTTCTGCTGCATTTTGTTGAAGTGCGGCCTTTTTGAGAAAACATGACTATGGGTAAAAATGTAGCACAGCATGTTTAGAGATCTAGACAAGGTTGACACTTATATACGGTTTAAACGGCCAAAAGTGTTCATCAAAAACATTTCTCTTGGTCAACTTTACTTTTTGTTATCGTAAATATAAGGCAAATTCAACCGAATTCATCGGTGTCAATTGTTTGATGTCACTTTCGCCAATACGTGTTAATGAAAAATACGCATGTACATTATGTTCACCAGACGAAATGTTACACCATTCTGTATCTTGACGGAAATTGTTTTACTTGATTGAACACCAGGGCAAGTATTCAATAAACTTTAAAGGTAAAGACCGGTAGTGGTAAAATTGCAGTTCAAGGGTTTTGGGTGCAAAATATCCATTCAATATTGTTTAAATATTGCCTTCAGAGGTTTAGATGGCAAATATTCAACCTAAGTTCTCCAAAAAAAAGCAGAAATATATGCCCAAATGTTCAATGTTGAAGTGCATTCGCGATATCTATCCAGGCCGGATCGATATGATAATTTACCAAATATACCAATTAGTAGGCGGTTTCCCGACAAAATTGGTGTCATCACGTATTAGTCAAAACATGCGATTTCACATGATTGGTATTAAGAGCTTTCATTTCATTTTTTGAGAGAGGGGCGTTTCCAAAATACCTTTAAGATGTTTATCTTAAGTCTAAGAAAAATGTCTAGGTATTTGTGTTGTTTAAGAAAGTTGCCATAGCCATATACTAAGCACTTTCTCTTAGATAAAGTCTAAGAATATATACTTACTCTCATTGCGATATTCTTAGCCCCAATGCTTTTATAGAAATCACATTTTTGCTAAGACTTTTTTCTTAGCAAAAACATAAGGAAACGTTTTTAAATTTCATGCTTTAAAAATTATTGAGTACGGGCCCTGGAATAAGACTAGCCGGTTATATGATTGTTAAACCTCTCGAGTAAAATAGTTTATTGGCTGTATATAATATACGCAAACAATTTTTTATCCCGTAATCTTACATTTTTAAAGTCGTGCACATTGCAGGTGCCATATGACCTCACAGTGACCATAATGGTAGGAGTACTCCACAGGGAGTGGAAATGGTGCATACTGTGTGCATGAATGAATCTGATGAACGGGGTAGTAATGATATCTCTAAAGCAATTTGAGAATATCGTGTTATTCGTGTTATATAAACATTAAGATTTATTTTTTATTTTCAAAACATCGCATTTAGCTTGCTTAAACCATAATGTCATGATAAATTTACACCCCACCCCCTAAACATTCGGTTATTCATTCGTGTTGCATAATGTAATTTGCATCCATCTATAGTTGACAACAATGCATTTCGTATACTCCAAACTTGATGACATTTCAATGATATCATGTTTGACGATGGAATTGTTGTGCCAAATACTTGTTTGATTGCATAATTTTTAATTAGTGTAGGGATGCTATATCATCAGCCTCTTTCTGTAAATTTTGCCTTCATGATACTTCAACAAACTGTTAAATTTAAGCAAACTAATAGATATTTTGTGTCGGCAAATTTATTCAGAATTGCTATTTTAAGTTCCGATTCTGATAAATAGAGAAGCTGAAATTCGAAATGCTTTACTTTGTGTGTCATCTTAAAGAAATTGATCGCTGCATTTATCGCACTTTATTGGAACTATGTGAAAGACAACAGCTGCAATTACACACATACACTGATATTTCAAGCCACAGAGAGGGAAATGCGAATAATCATACCATGTACAAAATAATTTTAACCCTTTGAGTACACGAATAACGTGCACAATGATTCGATGAATGCCTAAATTATGTCATTTTATTTAGAATGAACCGTTGAAGTTGACAGCTTCCTCGTTTAATCTCAACTTTATTGTGAACGGTGAAGTTTTGCAACTGTACTTGATTACCAATTTATCATAAAAAATGTAATATAAATTCACAATTCAAATCAAAATCTTTGTTTTTATACTTTTGTTCATGTTTTTAATCATGTAGAGGAATAAACCATTCACAGAATGTTTGCTGGGTGGATGCTGACGAAAAAAAAATCCAAAGATGAATGTTTTTCCCCCAGAAAGAGTCGATAAAGAAAAAGAAGTGAAATTTTGAAAGTCGAGACCGCTACTGAAACTGGGAAATCTCAAATTGGCAATGCGGTTTATAATGATGTCATAAAAGGAGAACAAGAAAAGGAAATCAAGGGGAAAATACTTTGCATCTTGGAATGACACGTAGAAATATAATGTCCATGCATTTTTTTATCATCCCTCATGCAAAAACTGAAAATGGGTCATTGCAATGATTTATGTATAGTGAATGGGAATTTTTTCTCTGCTTGTGCAACACACTATCGTTAGCAACAAATAATGGAACATTCCCGTGCCGTAAGGGATCAAAATTCATAAATTTCTTCAATTTCGGTTTGATTTACTCCGAAATTGTCAGCGGTATTTATTTTTAGTTTGCGTGTCTCCTTTTTCATTCAGATTAGGTTTCATGAAGGGTTAATTCCCCTCAAATAAGAATGACATTCAAAAGGAGAAAGAGAGAGAGAGAGAGAGAGAGAGAGAGAGAGAGAGAGAGTATGTGTGTGTTTGCATGCGAGTGAGTGTGTGTGCGTGCATGCGTGTGGGAGAGAGAGAGAGAGAGAGAGAGAGAGAGAAGTAGACATAAATATAAAAAGAGAGAGATGGGGAGGGATAAGGATACAGAAAGAGAGTGTAAGAAGAAAAAATGAGGTAAAAAAAGGAGGAGGAAATTGATAACAGGATAGATAAATAAGGATACAAAGAAATTGAAAGAAAAGAGAAAAGGATAACATACAAATACAGAAAGGGAGAGAGAGAGAGAGAAAAGAGGAGGGGGGGGGGGGGGAGGTAGAGTAGTAATTTTTTTTAAATCATTTTTTTTCGTATTCATTAACATTTTTTAAATACAAATTTACGCCGTCAAAAACTCTTTATATATTTTTCTTTCTTTACATTGTAAATAAAGTTGGTCAGCAAATGATATTTGAAATAATTTCACAAAATGAAGAGAAAAAAAATGGAATGACAAAATTGAGTGTTTTTCTCTTAAAGACTTTGGGGGTTTAGCTATTAGAGTCATCCAATGCGGTGTTGTATCAAATCGAAATGTATTTATAGAGCTTCTAATTATCTATATGACTAATACATGTCAATCATTGTCATCTGCATTACTTTGCCTGCCGTGATTACGTGCACATATACATGGTGTCTGATAGATAATATTCCAGCGCCACAGGTCAAGGAGCAAAACCACTTTTGATAGCACTCATTACATTTTAAAACATTATAAAAATCTACCGGTGTGTTATTTATCTGGAGTGGGATCTTACAATTGGCAATTGAAGTTTGAAACGTCGTGTGACATTCGCTTGATTACGGTTTCTTTCCTGATAACAATCGATAACAAATTGTGCCTTTCATGTATAACCTTATACAGTCATGTATATCATGTAAATATTTCCAGCGAACTAAGTAAACATACATTTTGCACCCCCTATTTATCAAAGTTCTAGCATATCTTGCATGCAAATCAAACGAACGGATCCGTTACCATTTTCACCGAATCAATATAAAGCACCATTCCAAAATCTAACAAAAGATCATTATGGTTTTAGATTTTGCACAAGTATTGATCGTATTATGAAACACCTTTAAACCGTGGCGGAGGATGATTTCGATTTATTGATTTTCAGTGAGTGTATGTTGCTTTTTTTGTGAGATCGATCAATTATATGTTCTGCCCTCCCCATACAACGACTAGTTGCACATATAGCCATAGGCTGTCACCGTCTGCACATGAAATTATTTGGCGGGGATTTGAAAATCGGAGATTTGGAGAATGGAGGGAGGAGGAGGAGGAGCTAGGTGCTTGGGGAGAAAGAGGAGGAGGAGGACCAGAGATGAATAAGGGATAAAAAGAAACTGAAAAAAGGAGAGAGGAGAAGGGGGAAGAGGGACGGTGAGACAGATAGAGAAAGACAGAGACAGAGAGAGAGAGATAGAGAGAGAGAGAGAGAGAGAGAGAGAGGGGGGATGTGTGTGTGTGTGTGTGCGCAAGTGTGTGTGAATGTGTGTGTAGGGGGGGGGGGGGTAGGGCCAACCAGTACAGATTGCCCTGGTATGATTAACAGTAACAAAAGCGGATCCGGGATTTCTGTAAGGGCGGGGGTGCAGAATTCCGAAGGAAAAAAAATACTCAACGGGGCACATTGCTGGGCTTTTACCTATATGTGCTCTGATGGATTATATATTTGCGTCTAATTCATGTATTGTCCAGCCTTGGCCGTTATCGGTGAGATATTAGGGCCTTTCAGATTTACACGACGAGAACATGGACTTCTACGTGTGACATCCTTTTAAGGCAATGTGACATCCTTTTAAGACACCGGCAGGCGGCAGTGCCCGGCAGTGCCTTGAAGGAGGTCACATTGCCTTAAAAGGATGTCACACATAGCAGTCCACGTTCTCGTCGTGCAAATCTAAAAGTCCCTAATGTCAATGTACCGTTCACCCATTTTCATGGGTGATGCAGAATGATATTCAAATTCTCCCTGATGGGGTGAGTTCTTGAAAGTCCTTTTCGTACTTTTTAAATTCTCAAATAACTCCTTTGTCGAGTGAGAGAATGGTACAGATCATATTTTTAGCATTTTCTTTTATTTCAGTAAACGAAGGAGGTGCTCTTGTCATCATCTTCTAATGTTAATGTTATTACCCACCCCCTCTCTCCCTCTCTCTCTCTCTCTCTCTCTCTCTCTCTCTCTCTCTCTCACTATTTCTCTCTCTATTTCTATTCCCCCCTCTCTCTCTCTCTTGTACATCTAGCATTGAAGTCACTACCTTAGCACCATTTTCTCTCATCTGAACAATGTTACCAAGTCCCTTTAACACCTGATTGGAGAGTGGCAAAGGATATTCGTGCCGCGGTGGGATTCGAACCGCGAACCATGTGTTCCAAAGTCCGACGACGGTCCTATACACCACGACTCCTTTTCAGGACCCACGAGCCCGAAGATCCTTGGTCATGTGGGTCTCCGGATAACTCCTGGGAAGGTTCATGAGTCGAACTTCCACAAGATTGGGAACGAAGGAGGCGCGATGGCTTTGTGGTAGAGCAGTGGTCTCATAACCCGTGGGTCCCTGGTTCGAAACCAAGTCAATGCGCTTTTTTCCTCTGGTAGGGCATTAATCTTCTTAACCAAGTCCATTGGAGAGGACATAAAAAGCCGTTGATCCCCTCGTAGCTTACTTACAAGCAAAAACATGCTTAGGTAAAACAAACCAACCGACCAAAATTGAAATCCTTTTCTTCTGTTCACCTTTTGACAAATGCATATTTTAATAAACAACTACTTCGAATGCGTTCATTGATATTTTGGGCGGTTAAGCCTTTGTTTAATACCATCTCTTTATATTTAAAAAATCCATCATCAGTCTTTAAGTCATCAATTACCAGTGAGACACAATAATTTGATTGGTAAAAATTGATTAATGGTAAACATGGTCACTAATTGTAATGTCGGCTGCACTGCAGTGTACCGAAGGATTGCAAGACTTCCGGATAAATGTATGCCCCCTGCAACCCTCGTGAAATGAATCGCATCTCGAACACTTGCTTTAAAGGTACTATGTCCCTTTTGCAGCCAACCTCAAATGCTGTAGAACTTTGCAGGAATTATGAATATGTCATTTATGTCCTATCTGTAAAATTTAAACGTTAGCAGTGTCCTCATATTCAAATTATGCAAGGAAACCCGTTTACTTGCTAGACTTCACTGTCAGACACTATCGAGTGACTCACTGGCTTTCTTTCTTCTTTGGTAATAACATACATGAAAAGAGTTGTAAAGGGCACATGAGCATTTGTCTACATCAAAAACCCACTTCTTGTGATGGCCAAGATTAAACTGATTGAATCTTTGCGCAGCATAAAACGTATGACCATTCGGTACAATTGTCAGAAAATCAAGACTATTACATTTGGGCTCTATAGCCCTAAAGTCGATTTGACAACTAATAGTCGTTATTTTCCCACTTGAAGACATTTTCAAGCCCCACCTTTTTTAGGGAAGTTCTAAATTATTATTATCTTTCAAATGCAGTTGGAATTTAACTTTTTCATTTTTTGGCCTGCAAATGGGACATAGTACCTTTAACGTGCTCGAAGATGAGAAAACGTAAATATAGTAGGATATCAACGTACACACTAGCATCATCAGAGCTGCCAATCCTAGGTATGCTAATTTCTCTAATCACCTTCCATTGTCTGTCATAGAGTGTGATGCATCCATCCCAGCTGTCATACAATATGGTGATACAATAACTGCTAAATCAATGCTGATATACATTTGAAACAAGAGCATGATCATGAATGGAAATAATATCGAAAAATCAACCTAATTTAGCAATAGGCTATTTAATGCATGCATCCTTCTGAAGTGCCTCGATACAAATAAGTTTATTCCCCTGTTACAAATAATTGTATCTCAATAGTCAGCATACGAATTGCATACAGTATTTGTTGCTAAGTCGGACAAACATTATTTCAATAGGCCATTATTTTACATTACCAAAATAGTATATTGCGCATTCTCCAACACCTATTGAAATGGGCGTACATTATAATGACGTATTACAAACTATGTATATATGTATGGGATATACCGTAGAATATTAATATTGGACTTGATCTCTCGAGAGTAGTTTGCGATCGTGTGCAAGGTATCATGTTTCACAAACCTTGTTATCAATAACAAAACCGAAGTCATGGTTATAAGCTACTGAAATCATTGAATTCGATTGGCTGTGAGCAGATTTGGTAACTTCCGGCGGTTGCTATTGATGACTAATATTATCAAATGGGACCCTGGAACATGCTAGTGGAGATAGAATCCTCGCGGTGATGTCGGTCGTTCACTTGACTTTCCATCAAGAGTTTGTGAATTCGAAACTAAGGTTCCATGGTTAGAATGGCCAGTAATAAGGTGTACACCTTATTCGTAAAAAAAAAGGAAACCCGATTTTCTCCAGCATCACCTCGTCAACAAAAAAAGAGTAACACTCCGATTCCAAACACAACAAAGTAATGCATACAAATATTTGTGTGACACCCCTAGCCTGGCACATTAATCGTTATGTAGGCGACGGGAGAATTTCTGAAAGTGTCTATGCCACAGAGTTGCCAATTTGTGTTTCACCGATTACAATCTCAAACAATGAAACCTACCTTTATGCTTTTTCTTCACACCATCTGGCTGAACCCCAATTGATCTGTTTATCTACTTTTGCTTCTTCTATTTACAACCAATTTCAATGTGAACTTCCCATGCCATGAAAGGGCGCTATTAATTGTAAGGATTTCTTTCTGGAGGAATGTCGTGGTCTAGTCGATATGTCACCGGACTGTTGATCGCGTCCCGGGTCACCGCGGCACCAAAGTCCAATTTATTAATCTAAATATGCCACTTTCCACCCAGGTGAGGGAAACGGTTACCTGGTAGGAATTAATAACTGTATAAGAACCCACTATTATACCTAATTCGAAATCAAACTAATGATTAATAATAAACCAAATTAAGCATTCCTTAGTTAAAAATGGTTTTATAGAGGACTCGGCGCATCAGGACAAATATAGGAAAGAAAATTATTAATCAGATTTGAGAGAACTGCTTGACGGGGATGAACACTGTCTTTAGAATTCTGAGCTATGGTCATATCCCATGCGTCAATGAAGGCCAGTTCTGGAGAATCCTTCAATACCTCCCTCAACGCTAGGTCCAACGTCACAATATACCACTCGCTGTTGTGCAACTGATGAAGGCGGTTATTATATTCTCGGGTGTTTGAGCTCTTGAAGACTACCAATGTTTGAGGACTTCTCTTGTGTAGTCTCTGAGCAGCCTCCTTGATATCTCTCATTCTCTTTTCGTACATCTCTAATGGATATGTCGTGTAGTGTGTTCCAACGCAAATCAAGATAACCGACCTAGAGTCCACTTTGAGACCGTCTAATTCATTGACAATGTAAGTGATCGTCTCCTTGCTTATAAAATCCGATGGACGATTAGGAAAGCCGTGAAATTTGAAATCTATTGAGATGTTAAACTTAGCACCCTTAGCATATAAAGGCCTAACTAAACCCTTACGTAAATCTATTGGTATCTTCCCGGCCACAATATTAGGTTTGTAGTTATCGGCAAACTCCCAAAAGAACTGTCTAGCAGTGGAGTCGCCAAAAATATGAACTGCTCTGTTCTGCAGGCACTGTAAGACATCTGTTTTGGTAAATCGACGGAGTTTGCATTGATCTGAAAACCAGATGTTATTGCTGTAGAAGCCCGAAGGAGAAGGGTTGTGTAAGTGTTGTCCTGGTCTGCAGGAAGGTAGAGAATCTTGATAGGCAAACACGCTTTTCTTCCATCCTGTAGGGTTTTAGAAGTAAAAAAAAAAATTACAATGGATTGCAATTATGAACAACACCTCTATACTATAGTATACGCGTATATAATGTGATAATATCCCGTAAAAAATATTATTACTCTCGACCCTTTCCCAAGACCTCATGAAACCCGAAACTAATCAACAAAAGCTAAATATTGGCATTCCAATATTCATTCTATCTTTTGTAGTAAAAGACTATTATATTTACTACTGATTTATTTCACTTCGCGTTTTCCCTAGGTTTTTTTTAATGCAGGAACTTATTTCAATGCAAAATTACTCTCTCAAAATGAAAGATCATTATACTTACTGTTAGAGTCCCCAACTACGTTGAGGGGAGGAGGGTGGTGTTTGATAGGCAACTTATGTCTGCAATTAAAAGAACAAAACTTTTTTTTATGATGTGATGAGCACGCGTTCAAGAATATGTATCATGTGTTTTTAATTGAAAAAAAAAACATCGCAAAATCACCGTGTTATGAAAATAATAATAATAATATAATGATAACGTTGTATTTACCCAGGGTAGCCACTTCAGTTATGAAACTGCTCTTCCAGCGGGCCCTGCATAACATAATATGTTATGATTTTATATTAGCAAGGCCTATTAAGGGCAATTCCCTGAAATACAATTACCCCAGGACATTTACTCCCAGGAAAATTAGCCCCCGGATAATTACAAGGAGATTATCGCTGGGGACGAGGTCTCCACGAGGAAGTGACGAGAGCAGGAAGAGGGGGGGGGGGGGGGGGGGGGGGGTGGGGGTGGAGGGGGGATGTAAATTGGTTTGGGATCCCCCTTCCACATAAAGGTACTTTTTGAATTATATAAAATTGCTCTTGGGAGGTATTTGACCGGGGATAGTTGCCCGGGGGGTTAATGTTCAAAGGGGAATTGTCTCATATCCCCTCCCCCTCTCCCATTGTAGCTCCGCCGATGCTGGTACGGTTAGGTGGATAAAGACAAGAATCAGAGTCATCTGGAATGAGAATAAAGACAATTCATCCCTGACATCAAACACCAGGGCAACTACCCCCGGACAATTAACTCCTTACGGCAATTGTCATACTTTTTATTATAAAAACGGGTCCACTTTTATATAAGGATTATATTTCCTTTCAGACTGAAGCCTATTCAGTTCATTTGTATATCCTTTTCCAATATGTTTGTTTATTTTGTGTATTATATCTGATTGTTATATGTAATGTTTTTTTAAACTTAATTAAATGAAATTGAATTGATTTATCTGGAAAGAGAATCAATGTCATTAATAAGTGACTAATCAGATGCGACTTCCGCTGTCTAGATTATTCTGTCATGCTAGCCAGGGGCGTACGCAGGGGGGGGGGGGGGGGGGGGGGGGTTCAAACCCCCCTTTGGTATTTTTATGTGTGTAACCCCCCCTAAAAAAAACTAAGACCCCCCCCTTTGTGTTTGTTTGTTTTGTTTTTGTTTTTGTTTTAAATAAAAATTAAAAAAAAAAAAAAAAAAATTATGCCCACGGCTAACGTAAAGTGACCTTACCCCCCCCCCCCAGCGAAAAAAAATGTCAAATTTTCAAATTTCGAGACCCCCCCCAAAAAAAAAGTGTCCGCTTACCCCCCCCCCCCCAACTGAGCGACTTTTCGGCTGGCGCGATTTTCAAATTTTCGGGAGCAAAATATTTTGGGCCAGATTTTAAACCCCCCCCCCCCCCTTGAAAAAATCCTGCGTACGCCCCTGATGCTAGCTATGAATTAACCGAGCATTATAAGGCTATTAGGCTCAAACTTTTCTTCTCGGTTTCTTTGCAAATAGGATGACATAATAAAAGCATAACTTACATCTTGAAAATGTTTAGCTCTTCCTTGCTGACGGCCCTCATCGTGTACTTCTCGCCTAATTTGGGATCATTTACGTACAGCTTCCAGTCATCACACGATAAAGTATTTTTAGAGGGCGCTACACAGAACCATGGATAGCCTAATCTTTCATCCGTGAAGTTACAAAGAGAATGCTGTCAGCATTAAGGAAAACGAAACAAATTGATACTTTCTAATTAATACACATACATGCACACACACTCTCACGCGCACACCAACAATTGATACACATTATACCGTACACTAATATACAATTGATACACATACATTTAATATACGTACGTACAAGTAGGCTCATAATTGATATGCATAAATTTAGCAATAATTCAGATTTTGGCAAGATATCTTAATTCTGCTCTATAGGGCTTTCATTTGTTTTCTTCTTCAGAAAAGCAAAGGTTTAAGACAGTAGTGAATCCCCCTCCCCCATTAAGGGCCCCCATAGTTTTGTACTAAAGGTCGCAAGTCTTACACGATACATTCCAGAAACAGCTTTTGTAACCCTGGCAGTTATTTACACAAAAAGGGAATATAGATTGCCGATACATATAAATGTATGTGTAGATAAATATTTAATTGTAAAATCTTACTGTGGAACATGACGTGACTTCTTTACGTTGTGGAAAAATGGATACAATCACCGTTGTTTATTGAAGCCAAGCTTTCGACATCATAGCCTTCGTCGAGGGCTGTACGACGAGGAAAATTAACAAAATAATACTCAAGAATTATATTTAAAATATTTGTCAAAATTGTTTGCACTATTCTGTTCCATTTTCATTGTTGTACATCTCAGAACGAAGGCTATAATGTCGAAAGAGAGAGAGAGAGAGAGAAAGAGAGATGAACTACTTACATTACGGATGACCTTTGGTAGGCACATTACATCTTCAGAGATGTCCATCCCAGAGTCAAGAGTTCTCAGGTAGCGCCCCTTGAAGACCGTCCTACCAGGCTCTAAGTCTCGAATCCTTCGCAGAACCCTCAAAGCCTCGCTGGGATGAACCAACGTCACAATCACTGCAACCTTCCCAGGCCATCGTAACGTCACATCAGCAATGTAGGAACCATTTCCCAGGTCATTTGTGACGTCAATGCTCCAGGATGACTGTGTTTCTGCAGTGTATAGTTTGACCCGGAAGTAGTCACCTCCGCAAGTCTTGATGACGTTGTTTACATCTCTTGCTGTGATGCGGATCTGTAGAGTGTCGTTGACCTTATGCGATGCCTTGGCGTTGATGACCTCTGCCGTTGAGAAGACATTGCTGGTCGGCGCAATGTTTGTGCTAATGCTTTGTGACAAACACGTGAACGGGTCGTTTGACCAGTTTAAACTAGTTTCATTTGGCTTGGTGAACACCATTTTCTACAGACAAAATAAAACGTTATAATTAACTGTCTTGGGGAGATGTGAGTCGGTCTAGCGGTAATGTCATTGGTATGGTCATCAACTCACTGTCTTTGCCTACATACTGACTCAGTGGACCCTGGTTCGAGACTGGTCGAGTCACGTCTTTCGGATGGTCCCCAGACGTAAACAATCATATATATGACTGATTCACGTTTGTAAAAACACACGTTACAGACACACACACATACACACTCTTGTAAAATGACCAGATCAAGGGTACAATTCGGGACATTCTCAAATCGGACGTATCTTTAAAAGGCAAAATGAATGCAATGTTTCTCAATCGTTTTATACAAACCTTGTCAGTTTTGTTAGTGTATGTATTTTCTATATATGTTATGGTCATTGGATCATAATATTTTCTTTCAATTATTGAAAAAGTTGTTCATGATGTCCTTCAAGTGCGATATTTAATATTTCTTTGTCTAGAGGTTAAAACTTTTTAATCGATTAAAACTTGCAAAGGTTATTCCTTTTTTTAAAGAATGGTACTAAAGATAATGTTTCCAATTATCGACATGTATCTAAAGGCCTATTCACTGTTTTCTTTAAAAAAAAATGAAAAGAGCAGTATATAATCGCCTTTTTATGTTTTTAAATAAGTGCAACATTGTCACTGCATGCCAATTATGAATTTTATTTAACGTTTTGAAAACATTTGAAATGATCATATCTTAATGGGCCTTTTTATGATTTAAGTAAAGCATTCGATACATTAGATCATACTATTATATTTGAAAAATTATATCATTATGGTATTGGTGGAGTAACTTTATTTTGGTTTGAAAGTTATTTAGAAAATAGAACCAAATTTTTACAAATAAATACAGTTAAGTCTAATACCGGTATACTTGGATGTGGAGTGCATCAAGGATCCATCCTTCGACCTCTTTTATTTATGTTAATGACATGTGCAGTATTTCTGATAATTATAAGTTCATTTGATTTGCTGATGACGCAAGTGTTTTTTATGTCTCATTCTGATGGACGGGTTTTACAAGATGTTTTTAAGCAAGAATTCTTGAAACGTTTAAAATGGTCCTTGTATAATATTTTGGTTTTAAATTGCGATAAAGTTAAATATATGGTCTGTACAAACAAAATTTTTGATTCTAACAACGTTCATTAACGAGTAAATGACTATCATTTTGAACATGTAGATAATCTGAAGTTTTTAGGTATTGTAATTAATCATAAATTGAAGTGGCATGTTATATAAACGTGATGTGCAATAAGATAGCAAAAATATCGGTATTTTATATAAAGTTCACTTTTATCCCTAAAAAAACATTTTTAAAATGTTGTATTATACTTTAATATCACCGTATTTTAATCACTGTGTGGTCGCATGGGCAAATTGTAATGAAAAAGATACGGAAAGATTTATAACTCATTCTAAATATTATGCTCACTGTATTCCTTTATTTTGTAAACTTGGAGTTTTTAATGTAATCGATACGCAGAATTTTTATATAGCAGTTTTAATGTTTTAATGGTCATCTGCCAATTTTGTTGTCAACATGTTTTAATGTGAATTGTGATGTGCCTTATTGCTATACTAGAAATTCCCTAAATTGTCACCTCCCCAAAAAATAAAAACGACGGACATTATTTTTAAAGGACCAGTAGTATGGAATAGTATACCTCTGGATATTATGAAATCAAAAATCTCTCAATCGTTTCATTATTTAATATAAGCAATTTTTCTTAAATAAGTACAATAAACAGTAGAATAGCAAGGGCAACTTCGAAACTTTTGTAGTTATTTGTATTCTGATTGTACATGAGGTTCTGTTCTTTTTTCCTTCTCCCCCCTGTATTTGTGTGTTGAGGGGTAGCCTTTCATATACGGAATCCCTTCTTTCTGCCTATCCCACATGCTCTTATAAATTGCCATTGTAGTTTTAATCACTATCTTGTTTTTTGTTTGTTTTTATCATTCCATTCTGTATAATGTATGTCCTTTAAAAACAAATGTGGCCACTGAATCATATGATCGTAGTTATAAATCAATAAGTGTACGATTGAACGCGGAAAATCATGAAATATATAGGCACAATTTTAAAAGAATTGCATCCCCCACCCCCCCCCCCCAATCATTATGAGATCGCCCATACGCCATCCAGGAAACCTAATAGGTGGGCTTCATTTAGCTATATCGATCGAATTAAGATGGGACCTATACCTCCCCCCAGGCGCGTACGCAGGGGTGGGGGGGGGGGGGGGTGGTTTTGGGGTTAAACCCCCCTCGAGTTTTTTTTATGTGTATATTTTATGTATGTTATTTTGGAAACCCCCCCCCCCCCCCTTTTGAGATTTTTTTTTTTTTTTTTAATAAATAATAAAAAAAAAATAATAATACAAAAAAAAATTGCCAATGGCTGACCTTAAAAAGGTGACCTTACCCTCCCCAACCGGACAAATGTCAAATTTTCAACTTTCGAGACCAAAATAGAGGGAATCCAAGTCCCAGACTTCAATGAAGATCAAGCTGATTTTAAAGATATACGTATCGTTCAATATGCAGACGATACGACGATTATTACTAGATCTGTAAAATTTGTTAAAGAAATAATGAAAGAAGTAGCACTGTTTGGAGCACATGCGGGACCAAAAATTAACTGGACCAAATCAAATCTTATGAAACTTAATATAAATGACGATGAAGTTGAAGATTTACATTTCACTGAAGACCCTATAAAATGTCTTGGTATTTATGTAGGTAAAAATTCTTTTGACGTTCAAAATTTAAACTGGGAAAGTAAAGTAGAGAAAATAAAGAATACCTTGGATTTATGGAAAATGAGAAAACTTACATTGTACGGAAAAGTTGTTGTGATTAAACATTTAGTTATGTCTCAGATAGTACATACTGCCACGGCAGTTCCGATCCCTTCTAAAATAATTAAACGTATAAATAAACTGGCTTACACATTTTTATGGAATTCTAAAACAGAAAAGGTGAAACGAAACATCTGTCACAATCCTGAAGTAGAAGGGGGGTTGGGAATGATCGACAAAGAGGCTGTTCACACCGCAATGAGATAGCGCGGTCTATCGTAGCACCCCCTTTTTTCTAGCGCGCGCTAGACCGCGCTATCTCTCGTGGACCACCCCCAAGAGGTGCTCTAGTGGCACGCCGTTTTGGCTCGCGCGCTATCTCTGCGGTTTGGAAGGTACAACGTCGTTTCGGTCCACCCAACAGCGAGCCACGGCGAGCCAAAACGGCGTGCCACTAGAGCACCTCGATCTTGGGGGTGGTCCACGAGAGATAGCGCGGTCTAGCGCGCGCTAGAAAAAAGGGGGTGCTACGATAGACCGCGCTATCTCATTGCGTTGTGAACAGCCTAGAGTCAAAATGCCGGTCACTCCGTCTTTCATGGATTCATAAATATTTAAGAGATGAACAAAGTGCTTGGAAAATTTTGTTTAAATATTGGATCAAGAAAATTGGGGATTTGCCACTTTGTTTGCATTTTAATTGCAAAAAGAGCGATATGTTTCGTATTTGTAGAAAAAAACAGTTGCCTAACTTTTATGTTGACATGTTTTGTTCTTGGGCTGAATTGAAATATATTGATATGTTTAAAGTAACAGATATTGAAAATGAAATGATTTGGTATAATAGCAATATTAAAGCTATGAATGAGTTATTGTATTTTCCAAACTGGATGAGAAACAATATTTTTAAAGTGAAACAAGTCTTAGTTAACGGTATCTGGAAAGAAGTTGAATCTATTTGTATTAATTTTCAAGAAAATGAATTACTTTCCGCCTTCAAATTGGCAAAGTTAAAAAGTGCACTCCCGAATTTTTGGTTGCAGAAATTACGTAATAGGTTACAATATGTAAATAGTCCACCGTCTGCAGTGGAATCCAGTACAATAGAAATAGTAACAGGTGACTCCATTGATGTAGCGGTCATGAAAGCCAAACACTATTATAATTTGATGTTAGTAAAAAATAGACAGAATCTGCCGTGCATTTATTTTTGGAACGCTTATTTTGATTTACCCAATGAGTTTAACTGGAAAACGTTGCTCCATTATAAATTTTACTTTATAAATGACAACAGAATTAAGCAGTTTAATTTTAAATATCTTCATAGAATATTGCCCAGTAAAGACAATTTATGTAAATGGAAGATTAAAAATAATAATCTATGTGATATATGTAAGATTCCAGACACAACTAACCACCTTCTCCTGGCTTGCAAGAAGGTTTCGCTTTTTTGGAAGATTGTATCCAAATTAATTGATACTTTGTTTAATTTTAAAATCCTTTTGAACGAAGAAATTCTTTTAATAGGTTATGAAATAGAGAGAAGAGAAATGAATCTTGTCAATCTTATTTTAAACTTCGCTCAGTTTATTATCTATAGGAACTATATTAGAGAATGTTTTGGAAGTGAAAAGCACAGGAAACATGCTGTATATTGGATAAAAGAATTAAAGGTGGAAATTCGCACCTATCTCAATATGAAATGTAATCAAAAGAAATTCGATACAAACGAAGTTACAAAAGTTACAAAAATGTTTTCATTATTTTAGTTAGTGATTATGTCACATTAGTTTCATGTTCTGTACTATGTATGATATGTTACAATTGCATGAATTTTGTATTTAAACACTGTTGTAAATAGCTGTTATTTTATGATATGAACAAATAAAGTCCCTCGAAAGAGGATAAATAGAAAAAAAAAAACTTTCGAGACCAAAAAAAAAAAAGTGTCCTCTTACCCCCCCCCCGCTTATTAAGCGACTGGCTGAGTCGTTGCGATTTTTTTGGGACTCTAAAAAAAAAAAAGTGTACGCTTACCCCCCCCCCCCCCCCCCCCCCCCCCCCCCCCCCCCCCCCCCCCCCCCCCCCCCCCCCCCCCCCCCCCCCCGCCCCCGCTTATTCAGCGACTGGCTGAGTCGTTGCGAAATTTTGGGCCCGATTTGAACCCCCCCCTTGAAAAAATACTGGGTACGCCACTGCCTCCCCCCCCCCCCCCAGGCGGTCAATTAGGTCGAGGTATGCCTCTGAGTTCGGATGTGGCTGGCGACCTGACTCTATGTCAAGTACGATGGACTTATCCCAGGTAATTAATCTTTAAGGCCTTGAAGTTGCAAAAGCTCCAAGTAATATTCGAGGTGATTATCCTATAGATGCTTTCTAAAGTCTTGAATTTTCAAGCGTTCCAAGTTTGTATAATGCACTACGAGGGACCTGCCCCTTTATTGATTTGTAAAGCCTGGAAGTTGCACTAATGCCAAAGAATGTTCAGGTAAAACATCCTCCATTATCTCTTAAAGTCTTGAAGTTGCAAACACTTTAATCAATGTTCGAGGGACATTTTCTCCATTACCTTTTAAAGTCTTAAAGCGGTGAGCAAGCACTGCAAGCAAAGCACAGGGGATTTAACCTAAGTGGGGTTTTTAACTCTTTGTTTGCTTTGTTCGCCGATTTGCACGGACGTAGGCGTGCCAACTTCGCATTTTTGCACAGATGTATACGAGTCAATTAGACATTCATAATACCGCTCGCAGTGTGTAGCCACGCGTTGCGTTTACTATTGTTTACATTGTATACATCGCACACTTTCCGGTAAACTGTTTTTCTTCATAGTGTTACATTCGAAATTACCGTGTATTTAGCGGTTTTCTTTGGATTTTTTTTACTGATGTTACGATGGCACCTGCTGGAAAACGTCAACGTGTGTTTAGTGTTGAGGAGGCTCGAGATCTTGTTACTATGGAAGCATGGAGCATGGACTCTGATTCCGACGAATCGAGCAGTGACGAAGACTCTAGTGATAAAAGTGTTCCCTGAGAGTAGACTGATAGAATAAGAATGAATAAAAATTAATGAAAGAGCTAGAGATGACAGCAAGAAAGAGAGTAGACTGATAGAATAAGAATGAATAAAAAAAATGAAAGAAGGAGATAGAGATGACAGCAAGAAAGAGAGTAGACAGTGATAGAATAAGAATGAATAAAAATAATGAAAGAAAGAGATAGAGATGACAGCAAGAAAGAGAGTAGACTGATAGAATAAGAATGAATAAAAATTAATGAAAGAGCTAGAGATGACAGCAAGAAAGAGAGTAGACAGTGATAGAATAAGAATGAATAAAACTAATGAAAGAAAGATGTATCCTGTCTTGCCGTCATCTTTATATCTTTCTTTTATTATCTTTATTCATTCTTATGCTATCAGTGTTTACTCTCTTTCTTTCCGTCATCTCTATCTTATTATTATTATCATTTTCCTATCTATATGTACCCTATGTCTTGCCGTCATCTGTATATCTTTTTCTTATTATCTTTATTCATTATTATGCTATGAGTGTAATACTCTCTTTCTTGCCGTCATCTCTATCTCATTATTATTATCATTTTCCTATCTATATGTACCCTATGTCTTGCCGTCATCTCTATATCTTTCTCTTATTATCTTTATTCATTCTTATGCTATCAGTGTTTACTCTCTTTCTTTCCGTCATCTCTATCTTATTATTATTATCATTTTCCTATCTATAATTATGTACCCTATGTCTTGCCGTCATCTCTATATCTTTCTCTTATTATCTTTATTCATTCTTATGCTATCAGTGTTTACTCTCTTTCTTGCCGTCATCTCTATCTTATTATTATTATCATTTTCCTATCTATATGTACCCTATGTCTTGCCGTCATCTGTATATCTTTCTCTTATTATCTTTATTCATTCTTATGCTATCAGTGTTTACTCTCTTTCTTGCCGTCATCTCTATCTTATTATTATTATTATTTTCCTATCAATATGTATCCTATGTCTTGCCGTCATCTCTATATATTTCTCTTATTATCTTTATTCATTCTTGTGCTATCAGTGTTTACTCTCTTTCTTTCCGTCATCTCTATCTTTTTATTATTATCATTTTCCTATCTATATGTACCCTATGTCTTGCCGTCATCTCTATATCTTTCTCTTATTATCTTTATTCATTCTTATGCTATCAGTGTTTACTCTCTTTCTTTCCGTCATCTCTATCTTATTATTATTATCATTTTCCTATCTATATGTACCCTATGTCTTGCCGTCATCTCTATATCTTTCTCTTATTATCTTTATTCATTCTTATGCTATCAGTGTTTACTCTCTTTCTTTCCGTCATCTCTATCTCATTATTATTGTTATTTTCGTATCAATATGTATCCTGTCTTGCCGTCATCTTTATCTCTTTCTCTTATAATCTTTATTCACAGTAAAGTCCTTTCATTTCATATCACTATTTCTCTCTCATAATGTCTCTCACGTCCGTTCTCCATATTTTATTCATTGCATACTCCACTCGTCAATCATTTCTGATAATAAGCTCTCTCACAATAAAGTAAATGGAAAACAATGCAATATAGTTTATATTTTAAGATTGATTCATTCTTTCTTTGTATATCTATGGCTGTGATAAATGTACACTGTTGCTCATAACGGTGGAATATTTTTTTTTATCCCAATTTATGGAATTATTTTAAAAATAATTAAAAAATACTAGATCTAGATAATAGTATACAGTCTCAGATTTTATTGAATAATAATTTGCCAATATGTGTTTTGCGTGACTGCTAAAGCATGTATATTATGCTACTATGTTTATCAACTAGGGGACCTATGCCCTTAAGTCATAAAGGACAGTAATGAGGATTAATGCCTCACAAAAGGGCTCTGATATAGCACATCGACACGGTGTTGATCATGGGGCCTCACAGTTACGAGGCCATTGCTTTGTCACTGAACCATGACTGTACGCAGCGGGGGCTATGGTAGGGGGCAGTTTCCATAAATTTTAAAAAAAAACAGAAAATGCAATAAATTTTCAATAATTTATTGCATTCTACCCCGGTCCCCAACATAAAAAAATCCTCTGGACGGCCATGCATTATGGCTCAAGGCATAGGCACACAGAAGATTTTTTATGTTGGGGACCGGGGTAGAATGCAATAAATTATTGAAAATATATTGCATTTTCTGTTTTTTTTTTAAATTATGGAAACTGCCCCCTACCATAGCCCCCGCTGCGTACAGTCATGGTTCAGTGACAAAGCAATGGCCTCGTAACTGTGAGGCCCCAGGATCAACACCGTGTCGATGTGCTATATTAGTGCCCTTTTGTGAGGCATTAATCCTCATTACTGTCATTTATGACTTAAGGGCATAGGTCCCCTAGTTAATAAACATAGTAGCATAATATAAATGCTTTAGCAGTCACGCAAAACACATATTGGCAAATTATTATTCAATAAAATCTGAGACTGTATACTATTATCTAGATCTAGTATTTTTAAATTATTTTTAAAATAATTCCATAAATTGGGATAAAAAAACATATTCCACCGTTATGAGCAACAGTGTACTTGAAATCAATTTTATTGAGGGGTAAAGAAGGTGAGAGAACAGATGCGGTGAACATTCATAATGAGACATTTCAATAAGATGCTGATTATGTCATGTATATCACATATAATATATTATGCCTATACCATTTTTACATGCTCATACCAGTGGGCAAAATCAATAACATTCTCTTATTTCTTATTGACTTATCATGGCACAACAAAGAAAAACATCCCCACGACGTCCCTTTTCATGCCCCGCTAAACCGGACATTGACAATAACCTGGGGTAATAGGGATTTCAATGGGCAGATTAGCCCATTGTCAAGGGTGGCTGAGCGGGGTACTTTCAAGTCTCTCCCTATTGAACTTCTTTTCTTCAACAACCTAAATACTAACCTTCTGAATTGTTAGAATACTTGAGCAAGGTATGTAAAGAAAGGTAAGAAGTCCACCTTTCTAATAGATTCGATTTGAAGATGTCTTATCATTGCTAAATAAGAAATTCTAGAGGGATAAAAAACTGCCGTAAATAAGAAAAATTAAACATTATATAATTATGATTATTATAAAAATGATAATTCAAAATATAACAAATGACGGTTCATCGAAAAGCACGTTTTCCGGTCTACAACTTTGCTGCACAATATTTTTCATCATGATCATCCAGTGAAGAGTTATAGCCTCTTGATTCAGCAGAGTCAATAAAGATTCCCTCGAAATGTGTGACCCTAAAAGAATGTGGCACAGGGGGGTTTTTTAAGTGGCGCATAAAGAGTTAAAGTTAAAAAGTAGGCAAGCAGTTCAAGTAATATTCGTTGGACTTATACTCCTAGATAATTTCCAAAGTTTTTTTTAGTAGCACGAACTAAGGTAATATTCGGGGGACTGACCTTATACATGGATGTGACAGTCACTTCAATTAATAATGTCCGACGGACATATCCTTCATGTTTTGTTTTCAGGCGGCAAGAACGTTAAATAATGTAATAGGGACTTACCTTGTAAGTGGGATGATCATGTTTAAAGTTTCGATGTGGCAGCCACTTCGAAGATATCTCTATGAGTACAATCACCATCGATATGAACACCAATAGAACGATGCGAAGAAGAGATAACGTCGAACGTTGACAGGACATCTTGTAGGGAATGTCTGTAAATTCACCCCAAAACAGACTGCAGGCCGGCTTTAAAAAAGGTCGTTAAAACGGTATAGTCATTACTCAATCAGTAGTAGAGGAATGTTTCTAAAAATAGACACAAACCTAACCCTACCGGATGCACACAATACAGAATGATATTGTATGAAAATTAGCAACCTCAGCCACGCACATATATAGTTGCGTTGTGGCTCTTTAAAAAATAGAAACATGCCTCTGCGTCTGATTAGATAACGTTTCCTACAATTCTCTACAATAGAATATTGAAGCGTGAGGATATGTGAGCATGCTAGCTCGTACAGTACAAAGTCAATCGATAACTACGAGCATGGAGTTATTACTGCTAGCTCGGACAGACGAATGGAGAAGAAAAGAGGGGGGGGGGGTGGGGTGGAGGTAAGGGTGAGGGGAGAAATAAGGAAAAGGAAAAAACCAAGGTGAGAAAATATACCGGTAAGGAGATAGTTTGCTCGAAAATGCTCTTCAAACATTATCCTACCATGTGGTTCAAAATAACAACTCTGTTTATAAACCATGACTCAACTGAAAAGTAATACCCATTCTGGAAGGCCGGGGTCTGCTAGTTTTAGGTGTCAATTACCGAGATACATCAATCATAGTGGTTTGAATATGTCTGTCAAGCGCGAACAGAATTGATTACGTTACATATTTATTGACACATATCCTACCGAACTTAGATAAAGATGTCTGTGAACATTTTGTTTCCACGCATCATTGGGATAACGGTAATATCCCGTCTCAAGATGGCGACAATGACAGCGAAATACAAATCATGGACAATACTAATGATGAACACGATAATAATAATAATAAGAATAATAATAATAACAGGCCCTTTTAGAGCGGCGTCTATCTAGAAATTCTATTCTGAGGCGCACTAATTACTAATGATGAACATAATAATAATAATGATAATAGGCCTTTTTATAGCGCAGTCTATCTAGAAATTACACTGTCGCTCATAACGTTGGAATATTTTTTTTACCCCAATTTATGGAATTATTTGACAATGATTTATTCCTAATAGGTCTAGATAATAGTATACATTCTCAGATTTTATTGAATAATAATTTGCCAGTGTTTGTTTTGCGCGACTGCTAAAGCATGTGTATGCTACTATGCTTATCAACTAGAGGACCTACGCCCTTTAGTCATAAAAGACAGTGAAGAGGATTAATGCCCCATAAAAGGGCACTAATATAGCATATCGACACGGTTTTGATCCTGGGGCCTCACAGTTACGAGGCCATTGCTTTGCCACTGAACCATGACTGTACGCAGCGGGGGCTAGGGTAGGGGGCAGTTACCACAAATTAAAATAACAAAGAAAATGCAACAAATTATCAATAATTCAATGAATTTCCCCCCGGTCCCCAACAAAAAAAAATCTTCTGTGTGCCCATGCCTAGAGCCATAATGCATGGCCATACAGGGCATTTTTTTTTACTTTCACCGAATCAATATAAAGTACCGTTCCAAAATCTAACAAAAGATCATTATGGTTTTAGATTTTTCACAAGTATTGATCGTATTATGAAACAGCTTTAAACTGTGGCGGAGGATGATTTCGATTTATTGATTTTCAGTGAGTGTATGTTGCTTTTTTTTGTAAGATCGATCAATTATATGTTCTGCCCTCCTCATACAACGACTAGTTGCACATATAGCCATAGGCTGTCACCGTCTGCACATGAAATTATTTGGTGGGGATTTGAAAATCGGAGATTTGGAGAATGGAGGGAGGAGGAGGAGGAGGAGGAGGAGGAGGAGGAGGAGGAGGAGAGATGAATACGAGATAAAAAGAAACTGAAAAAAGGAGAGAGGAGAGGGGGGGGGGGGGGGGGGGGGAGAGGGATTGTGAGACAGATAGAGAAAGACAGAGACAGACAGAGACATAGGTGATGCAGAAGGATATTCAAATTCTCCTTGATGGGGTGACTTCTTGAAAGTCATTTTCGTACTTTTTAAATTCTTAAATAACCCCTTTGTCGAGTGAGAGAATGGTACAGATCATATTTTTAGTATCTTACTGTTATTCCAGTAAACGTAGAAGGTGCTCTTGCCATCATCTTCGAATGCTAATGTTATTACCCTCCCCTCCTCTCTCCCCTCTGTCTCTTTCCCCTCTCTCTTTCTCACTATTTCTCTCTCTATTTCTCTTCCCCCTTTCTCTCTCTCTCTCTCTCCCCTCTCTCATTCTCGATTCTCACTCTCATTTTTCTCTATTACTCTTCTCCCCCTCTCTCTCTCTCCCCCTCATTCTTTCTCTCTCCCATCTCTCTCTCTCTCTCTCTCTCTTCTCTCTCCCTCTCTCTCACTCTCTCTCTCTCTCACTCTCTCTACCCCCTCTCTCTCTCTCCCCCCCTCTCTCTCTCCCTTTCTCCCTCTCTCCTAGCTCTCTCACTTCCATTGTCTTGGTATTCAAGTTTTGGGGTTAAAGGATCGCTTCACGCGCTCCCCGTATCTACACGATACTATATACATTATAGCCATGACTTATTGTTTACGTCAGTGTTTCCAGAAGTTTGTTCTTCTGATTAAACGATAATAGGCTTTCTGATAATAAATAAATAACGAAGATGATCAAGACAGTGTTTGTTTCTACATGTAAATTCAGCGTACCGGTTATATTTAGGTCTATTGTTTCGAAAGTGGGGTAAGCATAGACATGAAACATCAAAAGGCATTGATCAATACTGATTGGTGCAATGATTTTATTATTTTTGTGTAAACTGGTATTATATATATACACACATGTAATACACTGACAGATGAATGGTGACAAAATATACACAAACAAACGCGATTTACAATTATATAAAAAGAACACCATTTAAAACAAAACAACTGGCTTTCATTTACGACAACAATCTTGGTCGGGGAGTGACATATATTAATAAGATACTATGAGAAACAGGTGTATGGTGTTTTTTTTTAGTAGAAAATCGATACACCATTGTTTCAATTGATTCTGCGTGTTATCAGTGTTATTATCATAACTATTATCATCATTATTATGCATAAGTTTTACAACTTTGATATATGTTATACTTTTTTTATTAATTGATTCTTTTCATTTCAAATGAAATCTCACACAATGTCAGCCAACGTTATGGTGAATCTTATATCCATTTTATCATAACGCGTTCATAACTGTCATAATTGGTAGGAAAAGTAATGGTTTCCTTCCAGGTTCATCAGTTGGAAGCCCCAACAATTTGATGGCAAAATTTCACTTTAAGTGTATCATAATGTGAAAAAAGATATCATTTAAGGCACATTTCTGCAATGATTTTTAAAACAATTGTGTTTGAAGTCGAATATTGATATAAAATACAAAATTCAGGTTTCTCCGTACAACGGAAAACCCTAATTATGTATTCTTTTATCAATATTTGTCTTCAAACACATTTTTTGAGGAAAAATCTCTGCAGGTGTTTTTCTTAAATGACATCCTTTTTCATTTTATGATATCATTTAAATGAAATTTTACCATCAACATTTTTGGCGAATTAGGGGCTCCCAACGCTTAAAATGATTTCTAAAATCTAGCATATCTCAAGATAGCTTTAGATAAAAATGATACATTTTCTTTGATTTCGCTTAGAAAATATTATAACCAGAATCCCCCGGCCATTTACAGGGTTACTCATTGGGAAGGGGAGGAGCAGAAAATTGCCAACATTATTTTTTTCTTGCGAATATAATAAAACAATTTATATTGGTTTATAGTCATTATAGATGAGAAATCAATTCAAAATTGGGGAGGTTTTCCTCATAAATGTAGCATTTTTATCCTAACATTAGGTGTTTGTTTATAATTCTTCTTCACCAATGGGGACGGGGTATATAGTTTGCATAGAGTTATAAAATCAAACTACTTCAAACGAAACGTCTGAACCTGAATAATCTTCTATGTCCACGACAGGGTTTTCTAGATAATCCTTCACATCACTCAGTTCCACTGACTCTGTCTTGCCCAAGGTAGCTGACGCCCCCGATAACTTTCGGTAAATCTCGGGTATTGTCTTAAAAGCAGACACCAAATTCCTAGGCCCTTTGTTGCAGCAACACAACATTGATTTGAATGCACTGGCGTAGAGGGAATTCGTCAGTCCGTAGACAAACGGATTCAACGCACTGTTCACGAAGAGGGCGATATCCGATAAAAACGTCCACAGGGATATTTTGCAGTGGTTCTCGCTTTCTCCGCGCCCAGAGACGATGACATAAAAACGTATGGCGTGGTGAAGACCAACGCTGACGGCGAAAACGATCAGGGCGACGAGAACCATTCGCAGGAGGCCGACTTTCTGTCGCCGGTGATCGTCGCTCTGGTTGCTTCCTCGTCGTAATGAAACGACGCGCGGACCCGGTCGCCACATCTTATGGATGATGATGACGTAACATGTTGTGCTGAGGACGAGAGGGGCGACGTACTCGGTAAGGAAGAAGATTAGGAAGACGGGCAGTTCGTCGATTACCTGGTTGAGGGCCTCGATGATTACGCAGTAAAGCAAGGATCCTACATCGAATGCAAGCAAAGATGGATGTACAAAATATGAGAATGATATTATGCACAATACAAAAAGGGTAACTGTTTTTATGTTCTCTTCTGAATGTTTATAGATATGAGAAATACCTCTCTTCAAATAATTTTGCTGTTTTCAATCGCCAAAGTCACCAGACGACTTTAAAGCCCTTCTAAAGTTTTGGGAGCCTAAAAATTTGATGGCAAAATATCACTTAAATAGTAACATAATTTGAAAGAGGATGTCATCTAACACACGTTTCTGCAAGGATTCTCTAAATAAATGTCTTTGAAGGCGAATATTACTGAAAGAATACAACATTTATGTTTTCTGCGTACAATATAAAACTAAAATTTTGAATTCTTTTATCAATATTTTTCTTCAAATGCATTCTTTGGGGGAAAATCTTAGCAGAAGCGTGTCTGACAAATGACATCCTCTTTTATATTTAGATACCATTTAAGTGAAATTTTACCATCTTTTTTTTTGGCGAATTTGGGGCTCCCAACACTATAGCCAGGCGCGTACGCAGGGGAGGGGGGGGGGGGGTGGGGTTAACCCCCCCTTGAGTTTTTTTAATATGAATGTTTTGTGTATGATTTTTGTGAAACCCCCCCCCCCCTTTTATTTATTTTTTTGTTTTTTTGTAATAAAAAATAAAAAAAATTATGCCAATGGCTGACCTAAAAAAGGTTACCTTACCCCCCCCCCAACGGAACAAAATGTCAATATTTCAAATTTCGAGACCAAAAAAAAAAAAAGTGTCCTCTTATTACTCCCCCCCCCCTCCCCCACTGAGCGACTTTTCAACTGGCTTAGTCAGTGCGATTTTTTTTGGGACTCCAAAAAAAAAAAAAAAAGTGTCCTCTTACCCCCACCCCCCCCCCACTGAGCGACTTTTTGGCTGGCGCGATTTTCAAATTTTCCTGAGTCGTTGCGAAATTTTGGGTCCGATTTTAAACCCCCCCCCCCCTTGAAAAAATCCTGCGTACGCCACTGACTATAGAGGGGCTATAAAAACAACACTGTTAGAAAAAAATTAAACAAGTTGTTTAAAATTTTAAACAACCCCGAGTTAACCGGTGAATCGCTCAACGTTGTTTAAAAATTAAACAAATTGAGGTTGTTTACATTTTGAACACTTAGTTGTTTAAAAATTAGGAAACCTTTTAAACAACAGTTGTTTAGTAATAAAATTGCACAACTCGGTTGTTTAAAGCAAGTTGTTTAAATTTTAAACAATAATGTTTAAATTACTAAGCAACTGTTGTTTATTCAGTATTACTGCACAACTGGGTTGTTTAAAAGGAGTTGCTTCAATTTTAAACAGAACTGTTTAATGGTTATTATCTGGTTGTTTGAATTTGTGAAATGACCTACTGGAACCACTCCTGCAATAATCACAACGATTTATACACTGCAACATGCAGAGCTTGTTGCCAATTTACTTTAACATTTGTTCATCATATTCATGGCAGTGACAGACAACATTATTATTTGTCTCTATAACTTCACCTAAACCCCATCGGCGAAGCCGAGAAGAACCAAGTCGTCGCCTTGCCCTTGTTCCGCCATTTTCGTCTGTACTGCACTGCACTAGCACTTGCACTGCACACACTAGCACTGCATGCTTGCATGCATGTATTATGTACGTACTTTGTGCATATCGCATGTGTGTGCGCAAATAGCAATCGCGTATCGAGAAAATATCAACGACGCCCCGGGACTTTTTAAACAACTCTGTTTAATAAAATATTTTTGTCTTTTAATACATAGTTGTTTAAGTCAATCGAGCACTGATTTTTCGATTTTGAACAGCGTTGTTTACTTTTTTAAACAACATTCTTTTAAACAGTGATATTTTAAACACCGTTCTAACAGTGAACGGATATCATTGTACTGTCCTAAACTTTATACGCCGTCTCATTGATAAGAAGTTCTGATATTGAAAAAGCTCTTAAAAAGTGTAGTTTGTACTTTCATTAGGGGAGGGGTCCGCAGTCTTACTCGGTGAGTGATGAAATGTAAATTGGAAAGGCCATCGATGAATTTTTTGAGAGGAAGTGGCCCTATTATCGTCGTCCTCTTCTTTAAAGCAACCCCTATCCTTTTCCCTCTCTCTTTTTTTCTTCTTATCATTTTCCCTTTTTGCTTTATAGAGTACCGAAGTGCTAACCGTTTATTCACTCGTCGTCCATGTTAATGGTTCGACACAACAGAGCCTGAATGGGCATGAGGTTCACCGCGAAATCAAATGAGCAACGGGCTGGAGCGGGGCAAATTCAGTGTTTGGAGCTGGAGTGAACACCATACCCTTATTAAACTCAAAATTGCTTGGAACCAGCAACCTTGACAACTTGGCCAGCATGACGTCACACTTCGGTACTCTGTTCAATGGGAGGTAAAAATGTCGGATCACCGGTCTGGCGGGTAATTGAATGTTACTTACCGAGCCACACTGCGACACTGACGATCACGGCATGCCGGATAGTTCGAAGTCTTATAGAGGATAACGGATGAACAAAGGCCAGGTATCGGTCGATAGTCAGGGCAACTAACATATAACACGTCACTCCTTTAGACACCTGAAAAAATAAAGAAAAGTAGTTAGATTAATCAGTCAGATATATAATACATGTCATGGACTGAAAACATCAAGCAGTGGACGTGAATGCACATCATTTGAGCAGCTAACTCGAAAAGCTGTAGACAGAAAGTAATGGAGATCCTTTGTCTCAACGTCCATATCATTGGCGCCCCCAACGACCTCCAAGCTATGGAACATAGATAGATAATTTGATTTATATGTTGCAGAAAAAAAAATCGATTCAATTCAATGTATTTGTATATACATGTACCTTTGTCAAGGACCCCATTGAAAACCAAATTTTATAGAATGGGCCATCCTTTTTAAATATGTGAAATAAATGTAAGAACAAAAACATATAGATAGATTAAATTAGGATAAGGATTCACCTTTGTTACCTTCATATTTTCATAAGACGCGGTCGCAAAGATTTATTTTTTTAAAAATATTAATATTGTTGAGGATAATCTCAACAGCCTATCGCGTCAGGCAGAGAAATGTGCATGATCTCATGATCTCTGTAGGCAAAACAATATAGGGTACAGAAATTGCCTTTAATGTGATTTTTGAAAATTAAAAACAAAACAAGTTTTGCCCCCCCCCCACCCCATTTAAGAAAGTTTTTTCCCAGATATTTCATGAAATAAAGAACATTCGGAAAAGTAGGTTCCTTGCTCCTCCCCCTCGCTTATGTTTGATATTGACATGCTATGAACTTCGTTCGTGACTGGATGAGCAACAATTTTTATTATTAAAAAAAAAGCGAATTAGAATCGTGGATAATTGCGATGCAAGGACAAGGTCCTTAATTCGTGAGTGTTTCACCAGCAAACCTTACAATATTGATTCAGGTATTCTTTATCAACCCACGCCACTTTACTACTCGAAAAAATGAAATGATGGAAAATTAATTAATTTCATCCTACTGGGGCCCCTAGCCTGATACCCCATTCACACCGGCCCCGAACCTACTCCACACCGACCCCAAACCGGCTCCAAACCGACTCCACACCGACCCCAAACCGACTAAACACCGACCCCAAACCGACTCAACACCGACTCCACACCGACCCCAAACCGACTAAACACCGACTCCAAACGGACTCAACACCGACCTCAAACCGACTCAACACCGACCCCGAACCGACTCCACACCGACCCCAAACCGACCAATTTGTGGCCATTCGGTGTAATGTAATTGTTTTTTCGGTCTGTTGTCAGTCTGGTATCGGTTTCTTGGTGTGACGGAGGCATTATACAGTAAAACGCGACAAACGAATAATTAGATGATTGCAGCTGATGGACCACTGGATCAGGGGCGGCAATTTCTTTTCACGACCAGGGGGGGGGGGGGGGGGACGAAATGCGAGGGAAAATCTGTATTCCGTTGGTATCACGGTGATACCAACGGAGTACAGATTTTATACAAAATTTACTTGTTCATTTTGAAGGATATTATGCGTGCGAGGGAGCGTAGCGACCAAGCGAGAATATTTTTGCATTTTTATTAGGCTTAACGCTGCACTCTTGGGCCCTCCAGAGCCTTAACGTGTGTTGCAGTCTTTAGTCAGTATTTGCTATACATGTTTGTTGTTGCACTTTTTCAAATTTTCTGGGGGGGGGGGGGGATGAACCCCTTACACAATTGAGGGGGATGGGGGGGGGGGGGGTCCCCCGTCCCCCGGGATCGCCGCCCCTGCAATGGAATCAACTGATTATCTCTATGGTTTATAGCTCTTGTGCGGAAATTCGATTCTTGTTGAATAGGATACGCCTATGCCTGATAAAAGACAAATCCATTTCTTGCCTTTTCATGAACTAAATACACTAATGGGATTACTCGATATTGGTTCGCAGCACAAAATCAAAAGGGGACAATCAAATTAACCTACATCTTATATATTTCTCGCTGTAATCATATTTGGCGGATACACTTGATTATTTTAAGGGGCTAAGGGATAATTTCCCCCTGATAAAATTCCAACCAATGCAAATTTCACTCTTAAGATCATGGACTGACATACTACTCATGAGATTGAAAACCACGTCTGAAATATCCTCAAACAGACATATAAGCCGATAAAGGGGCAGGTCCTACATATTATACGTGGGATGAATGTTCCACGCCTTGCTCGCTTTGTTCACTCGCAAGTGTGATATTACCTCATAACATCATATTCCTCCTATTAATATTATAATATGCGATTAGCGATAAACGTGTTTGGGAATAAAAAATATTTTTATTCCCAAACAGGTTTGCAATTTCTTATATTTCCCTTCTTCTCAATGGCTGATATGTTCTACGTCATTAGCAGATCGGAAAGAGGTCACAAACAATTAGACTTTGATTTTGTATTGCTTTGCCTCACTATTTATAAAGGCAAACAAACTAAATAAACTGAGACTTGAACCCACAATTCTGAGATTGTATTACGCTGTCCTTACCGATTGAGCCAACGATGGGTTGATGAAAAGTGATTCTGCATGATTTCTTTAACCCTTTCACTCAACCTAACGGTTACGTCATTGCTAATGACGTAACATATCAGCCAATCAGATGACCGGAAATATTAGCATTGGCAAACCTGTTTGGGAATAAAAAATTAGCGTCCCGCCCCCTATACCCACGATGATAAAGGTTAATGATCTGTAATATATATGGATTACCATGAGCTCGTGCGTAAGCCCTCCACCCTTATACGCCAAGGCCTGCATACGCCGCCTTGCATAGAGTGTTCTTCATTAATTTGTCCGCTATCGGTGAAAACAATTAATTTGACAGAATTGACCGATAAAGCATTGCAATGGTTGTTCACGCAGAACCTCTCTGTTTCTCCGTTGTTTTCCTTGGAGAGTTTAGTATAAAATGAACAAACAAAATTTGATAGCTTTTTAAATTTATTTTAAAGCCTTCTGAGAGCCATTATACAAGGTGTATTCACAAATTTGTGAAAAAGAACGAAATTAGCATAGAACTGTCACAGGGCCGCGTTTCTAAACTCACGTTTCCACAATTAATGGGGATAAATTTATCGCGAATTTCAGCACAATGGAACGTATCAGAATTTCTTGGTGTACTAACCCAAGGAAAAACCTGACTCTGCGATAGATATGCTACAGCGTGTAATGATTTGCAATACTACCACGTCACTTGCGTCCGTTCAAAGAGTCACCACCCGTTCATTTGGACTTCTACAAGAAGATGTACAGCCTTTTGTTTCTTTAGTGATGGTATTTATGATTACGGCGATATAAAAAGGAACGTGCTTCTGATGTGATCTTTTTTTATAATCATTTTTAGAATATCTTTATGAATAGTTTCAACAAGGCGTTGGACATCAAATGCATATGAATATTTAATTTTATGGCCGCAAATATTATTTGTGCCAAAAAATAAAAGTAAGCTAAGGTTTGGAACGGACATCAAATTCATATGAATATTCGTTAGCTTCAAAATATTATTTTGGCAGAAAAATAACTCACGGTTTGCAGGTTCTCAATCAAACAATATAACACTGTTTCGCTATACAGTAAACAAAATACTATATCCATTGCCCAGGACGGCTTTTACATTTTGAAGGGGGTTCATAAATTATCACCACCAAGATCAAAATGGCAGGATGCATTCCATTTTGGGAACGAATTTTACTCGTCATAGTGAGAATAGAGCTTGGGGTAGGTCTTGTACTGACCTCATCGACGCTCATCATCATTCTCTCTCATCCACGCTTTCGAAGACGTCATCATATCTTCCCGTTCAATCTCTCCTTGGCCGACTTAGCAGGAGTAACGCTGAATGTTATACAGCAGGTGGTAAACGAGTTACTTGTTGGGGTATGTATATCATCACACGATCACAATGTCTTTCCTAACATTAACTCGAGGGCGATTTCAACAATCCATTGCATCGTCTCTAGAAATCACTTTCGTTACGTATCACGTCGTTGTAATGTTCACACATTTCAGTTATAGACAAGGCTACAATATTGCTATTGTCTTTAGTTGGGGGGGGGGGGGGGGGCAGCATCTCGTTTGGTGGGAGGCGAAATGTAGTCGTGACGTATTGAAAATGTATTACCTCGTTCTTTAAAATAGGGGCGCACAATTTAATCATATTATGTAACACACGCCTTTAAATATGTAATTGGAAAATAGATCAATGTATATAAATCTTTATGAAAAAAACTTGTGTAGCCAATGACAGTAAATAATAGCACTAGAAGGAGGAGGAAGAGAAAGAGAAACAGAGGAAGCAGAAGAAGATGATGTAGAAGAGATGACACGTAATGAAAATTCCTAGTCAAGTTCAATGTTTTCGTAACTTTTGTAATACGTTTACAAAGCTTTGTAGAAACTTCTACGTAAATGACAAAAAGAAATCAGCATCACACTCTATTTCCTTCTGTAACTATCGTCAATTATTTACAAGGCTTTTAATTGCTCTTAAACAAATGTTCATAATTTTAACCTTGAAACTCTTACCTCTCATTCCTGTAGAACGTTTCCCACTTTACGTATTGGTAATTTTTTTGTAATTAAGACTTCCTCTAAACTATTGTGGCTTCGGCATAGGATTTCCGACTTTATCTTTTCATTTCGATATTTGATATCTGTTAGTTTACAATAAACAGTATTCGATATGCATTTTTTTTTTATCGCAGACAAACATCCCATACTACCCCGTCACTATGGCTACATCAGTAATGGTTTCCAACATGAGTATCTTACTGGTAGCTATCTACCAGCTCATCACCATCAAGGTTGACCCTTTCGGCGTAAAGAACATCATCACCACCACTCGATGTGTCGTCACCTGTGTCTTAACATGGGTCCTCTCTGTAGGGTTATCCATCGGAGTCTATGCCGTCACGCAGGTTTATCGGACCCTGATGCTCTACATCACCATCATCTCCTTAGCAACAACATCCATCTGCTACGTCATCATCTATCGCTCCATAGCTGGGGTGTCATCTGACGGCAATGTCCAGCTGGAAGAGCGCAAGAAGGAAAACAAGCGTGTCTTGCAGACGTTCTGCATGATCCTTGGAACGTCCGTGTTCTTTTCGTTGTACCCTATCACCACCTGGGTCATCCTGAGCTATGTATATACCTATGAAATAGGAGAAGACGACGACAACGCTTGCTATCTTCTCGGCGAAGAGATCATGCTGAGTGCCAACTGGATAGCCAACTGCGTCATCTACTGGTGGAGACTGAAGGAGTTTCGATCCATGATCTCTGGTTGCAAGAGACGTTCCAATGCAGTGGAACCCATGGCGTAGAGTGTGTCTAGCAATTAAGGGGCAGTAATGGGGAGAGGGCGCTATGGCTCAGTGGTAGAGCAGTGGTCTCGTAATTGAGAGGCCCCAGGTTCTAAACTAAGTTAATACGCCCGTGTCTTTTAGTAAGGCATTAATCCTCAATACAAACTCTTTTGGAGATTCGGAGACGACTAAAAGCCGTCAGTCGCCTGGTCGTTTACCAAAAAGCATTTCTTTGCAGTCAGGTAACACAATCAATAATTATACATTATGTGTATCATGCTTTGTATGGCAACTTTACTTGAAATGTATATAAATTGCACAAAGTTTGCACGAGGAATCTCTTGAATAGATTTTAAAACATTGATTAAAGGACATCAACTAAGCAGATTTTAAATGCTTTCTCGGCTAAGAGAGGCCGAGTATTTATTAACAGTTTTTTTTCCGGGTACACTGAGTTTATCTTACTAACTATGTTGAGTAAGAAAATTGTAAGAAAAAAATCAATGGAAAACTTACCTCATGAATAAAAGTGAAGCATGTGAATATCCTAGTCGGAAACTCGATGAGATCGAGATCGAAAGCGGGAATGATCAAAAGGGCGAGATGCAGAATCCCACATGTAAGAAGCACCACGATGTCCGTTAAAGCAAGACTGGCGACGTAGCAGCTCGAGGTCGTTCGATGTTTCCTCTGGGTGAAGACGATGACGAGGATGAGAGAGTTTCCGATGACGCCGACAACGATGACGGCGAGTAGAAAGACAAAGAGGAACATCTGAAGTGGCTTGCCTACGATTGAATCTGCGGCGACATGCTCCCTGTAGTCATATCCACCTTCGTCCAGATAATCAGCGAATTTACGTTCATCGTGATCACCGTCATGAAATTCATTAAAGTCGTCGTCGTGGTCGTTTATTGAATGGTTATGTCGGTGGGTGATACACGGACTAGCACTCAGGTACCACATTTCAAACTTTCGGTATAATTATCTCAAAAATAAAGGTTTACGCGAAAATGTCGACAGCTGAATTCGCAGAAACCAGAAAGAATGTCATATATTTGATTTTACTTCATTGTCCGAATTAAAAAAAATCTTAACATGATCTTCGTGGAGACAATATAGAGCGTCTTTAGATTAGTTAGTTTAATTTGTTAGTAATATAGAGATGTTTACCAGTTCGTACTAACAGCCCATAGATAGACACATCTTTCTTGTTAAGGTAGCAATACTGGATAGACCAGCTATTTTAAAATCACAAAGTACCAACACCCACTCTCTGGATTTATTTCAGGTACTGGAAAACGAGCCGAAATTAGACTTTTTTTTGGGGGGGGGGGGGGATATACAAAGGAACAATAAAACGACCATCAATCATTTTACAGAATTTGTTGGAGTTCTTTTCCAACGAAATATCTTGTGCTGGTACTTGACTGTCACGATATAAATATTACGTTTCATATCCTGTTCTGTCTATAACGCAAACGCTGGTAAAAATTTACAAGCATATCTTTCTAGCTAGTTTTAGCTTTCACTTACTGCGATATCAAATCACACGATTTGAACACCTGGACATGTTCAATGCTTTTTGTTAGATTTGAAACCCAGGACAGTGTTTGAAAATTGATCGTCCTTGTAAGTTATGTGGGATCCCAGGGAATACGCCGGTTTACTAACATAATTTATTGATGTTTCTTTCCCGGGCACCTATTGACCAGTTATTCCATTAACCTGTTATTAGTGAATGAACAACAAGACTTGGAATCCAGTCTACATGCGTTATTGTTGCTATGTCGGACACGCCTCGAGCAAGCTTTGGGGTTTTCAAGAACAACCTTTAATTAAAAAAGTTTGCATAAACTTTGAATATGTAGTAAACCGGTCTTTTAAGACATCAGACTACTTTGACAAATGACAATGATATAATGATGATGATGATGATTCACAGCATTTGTATGACGCCATAATATCTGTTTCAAAAAACATTCAAAGGCGCGAGCTACTCCAATAAAGTTAGCATTTAAATGTCTGAAGGAAGATGTGAGTTTTGAGTGAAGCTTTGAAGTTGTCAAGGTTGTCAATTTCGCGAATAGATGATTGCTTTTTTTTTACTAGTTATATGATAATAATTGAAACAAATTTTTTTTTTGTTATGATAATAATCATGATAGTTCCTAATCAAGAGCATTACAGCAAAACTAAGAGAGACTGTTTCAACAAAAATAATTTGAGACGAATAATACAATCAAGTATATAAATCTACAATACTGCAGATTTTCTTAAATTAACCTTGTAAATAATGTACAAGTTTTTATGTCGATTCTCGTATGTATACTCTCCTGTGAATATATATATATATACTGGTCATGATCATAACATTGATCAATGAACACACTCGTCACGACATCTGTCAAGAGCTCATCGTTTCATTTTTACCATTCTACAATTTTCCAAGGAACTATATAATAATTGTACAACCAAGATCTTTGTGTTCAGAGACTTTTTTTTAGTGAAAACCATAGGAACAACAGTATAAAGACTGAATAATCCTGGATCAAGTGAGTTACAAGTGAGTGACAAAAGAATTGCAAGTGCTTAGTGATAGATTTCAAAGCCTTGATCATAGATTTATGCTGGTACATCATCGGGTAAACCTGTGCAACATAACACCAAAGACCTTTGATTGTTCAATGGCACTTGTCAACGTAGTGAATTACACGGGTTATCCCCGCCTTGTCCCTTTGTGGTGACGCAATGTCTATTTTAGGATCAAATCAATTCGAAATGCATCATCATCATGCGATGTTTTTAAGACTGAGTGTGAGTATGTGTGATGCAGGGGCGGCGATCCCGGGGGGGGGGGGGCAGGGGGTACACGTCCCACGTCCCCCCTCAGTTTTTGTAGGGGGTTGTTCCCTCAGAAAATTTGAAAATGTGCAAACAAAAATATATAGCAAATACTGACTAAAGACTGCAACACACCTTGAGGCCCTGGAGGGGCAAAGAGTGCAGCGTTTAGATTAATACAAATGCAAAAATATTGTCGTTCGGTCGCTACGCTCCCTCGCATAATATCCTTAACAATGTACAAGTAAATATTGTAGAAAATCTGTATTCCGTTGATATCACGTAAGCACAGTTTACACTATATGCTCCGTCGTCCCTCGTATTTCGTCCACCGGTCATGAACAGAAATCGCAGCCCCTGGTGGGTTGGTGTGTTCGTGCGGGTGTGTGTGTTCAATTGGGTTTTTACAGACGTGGTTCAATCAGATATGATTATTTACGTCTATTTACGCCAAAAAACAGGTAAAAACACCTTTTTTGTATTTGATTTGAAGAAGAAAAAAATAGTGATCACTACCCCCCCCCCTACGTTGAGCACAAACAAAATTGTGTATACGTGTATGTATACGAAACTTCAACTTTAATTCAATTCAAATTCAATTCAAAGTTTATTCAACACTCTTTATAAAAACATTTAAAACATACAAATACAGAATGGAGTTATAACAAAAACAAGAAAGTGATAATAAATACAATTGCAATTTATAAGAGCATTTGGGATAGGCAGAAAGGAGTGATTCCTTTAAAAGCCTACCCCTAAAAACACACATACAGGAAAACGAGAACAAAAGAACAGAACAAAAAGCAAAGAACATACTAAAACTTACTATCAAGCACGATCAGAGTAAAAACAAGTGACAAAATTTGCCCATGCTATTATTACTTATTATTATACTTATTTAACAGAAATTGTTTATATTTGATTTAAAAAAGATTACTACCTCTTATCTTACTAGCATTATAGTACAGTGCATAATATGTTCTTTCAGGTTTACACTTTACTATATAGTATTGCATGTATACGAAAGAATAACTATCTATTATTTTACCTGTACAGTGGATTATATGTTCTTTCAGGCTTACAGTTACACTTGTACTACCGTTGCATGTATACGAAACTACAACTACCTCTTATTTTACTTGTACAGTGGATAATATATACTTTGAGACTACACTCAACAAGCATTGCATGTATACGAAACTACAACTACCTCCCATTTTACTGGTATTATAGTACAGTGCATAATATAGTCTTTCAGGCTTAAATTTTTAGCATTGCATGTATACGAAAATACACTACCTCTTTTTTCTTTACTTGTTCAGTGGATAATACGTTCTTTCAGGCTTACACTTGTACTACCGTTGTATGTATAGAAAACTACAACTGCCTCTTATTTGTTCAGTATATAATATGTTCTTTACGGCTTACTCTTTACTAGCATTGCATGTATACGAGATTATATACCTCACTTAAGAAATCCAGCCATCTGATTGGTTGAAATTGCAGTCGTGGTTTTAGCCATTCCCGTAAATAAACGAAAAATGCCAAACCTATGTAATAGTTCTAGAGTAAATCAGTAAAATCCCGGCAAAATTCCAGTTACCGGGAAAATGGTTCAATCTTGCTGAAATACCCATTGGTGTTCACGTGTTAATATATGCTTTGAGCGAGCGCGGATACCAAACATTGTGTGTGTGCGAATTGGTCGCTTAATTTTTTTAAAGATTTTTTAATAAGACGACCGACGATGTCGATCGTACTACTAAATCCGGCCTATATTCTACTTAAAAGGCAAAAATGGCTGAATAAACTATTCCTAGATTTCAACTTCTTGATAATGATCAATTGCAAGACTTGATTAATTCTGACGACAGCAAGAACACCAAATGGGTAAATGAAATTCTCCATAAAAATATTCCAAGATTAGGTCTAGATCTAGGCTACCTGCAAGTTATCAACGCAGACCTCGATAGCGTAAACAAACTTCCAAATTCGGAGCTGGACAAAGTAGATCTAGGCCCCCGTCTAGGCCTATGCCAAAAGTTTTACACTGGTGCTATAGTCTAGACGGAAGAACGGTTCTGTATACATGACGAAATCAATTTTAACTATTACATTCGGACTTCGGCGTCATTTCCTCAATTCTAACAATGTCGACATCATAAATTAAGCATGAAGATTTTTCCAATTCGACGAGAGTTTATAAGTGTTTTCAGCAATGCTTAAACAAGAAGGAAAGGGAGTTGTAACTCACAAACCAGCTATCTCGGCAGAAGACATGGACAAAATCCAAGGTTCGCTTGATTGGATGATCCTGTAGGTCTTCAGGACAAGGTGTTTATTGATGTTATGACACTCAACAGCTTTGACATTTTTGAGGAATTAGGGGGAAATGCTACATATTTAGATCTAGACTATATAGTCTAACTCTCAAAGATACACTCACCAAAAACAACTGTGCAGATAAACTAGAGAAAAGCCAAGGTGGTGTTATAAGTTGACTCTTTTTTTAGTATATAAAAGTAATAATGACTGCTTTAATTTTCGAGACATAATTGTTTTTATACGCTCTCGGGGAGGTTACAATCGTGCTATTGCCCGAGACTTAAAGCAGTCATTATTACTATACTACAACTAACTCTTATTTTAATTGTACAGTGGATAATATGTACTTTGAGACTTATACTTTAGTAGCATTGCATGTATTCGAAATTACAACTACCTTTTATTTTACCTGTCCCTTGAATATATGTACTTTCAGACTTACATTTTACAAGCATTGTATGTATTCGAAACTACAACTACCTCTTATTTAACTTGTACAGTGCATGATATATTCCTTCAGGCTAACACTTTACTAGCATTGCATGCATACGAAGATACAACTACATGTACCGCGTATTTTAATAGTATTATAGTACAGTGCATAATAAATACTCAGTTTTCAGGCTTACAATTTACTAGCATTGCATGTATTCGAAACTACAACTACCGCGTATTTTACTTGTACCGTCGATAATATATTCTTTCAGGCTTACAATTTACTAGCATCGCATGTATTCAAAACTACAACTACCTATTAAATCTACTTGTACAGTGGATATGTACTTTCAGACTTACACTTTACTAGCATTGCATGTATACGAATCTACAACTACCTCGTTTTTAGCTCATCCGGCCCGATGAGCTTATGCCATGGCGTGGCGTCCGTCGTCCGTCCGTCCTTTTGTCCTTCCGTCCGTCCACAGTTTTCAAAATGCTTCTTCTTCGTTTTTATCCAACCGATTTTGATTCTTATTATTTCATATGATAGGGCTAGGAGGGGGATTAAAAAAATTCTACACAGAATCGTGAAATTCATTATCTATGCTAATTTATGGAAATTTATTCGAAATCACAAAAATGCTTTTTCTCCTTCATATTTCGACCGATTTTGATTTGGTTTGCTTTATATCGTAGAGCTAACTTTGGTACACTATACCTCTACGCAGAATTTTGAAATTATTCTCCATTAATTAATTATGGTAATTTATGGAAATTTATTCCAAAAATAACAAAAATTGCTTCTTCTCCCTCATTTCTTGACCGATTTTGATTTGGTTTGCCTTATCTGATAGAGCTAAATTTGGAACACTAAACTTCTACACAGAATTTGAGATTTTGCTCCATCGAATATTTATGGTACTTCATCCAAATTCATTCCAATAATAATTTTAAAAATCACAAAAAATGCTTCTTCTCCTTCATATTTCGACCGATTTCGATTTGATTTGCTTTATATCATAAAGTTAACTTTGGTACACTATACCTCTACGCAGAATTTTAAAAATTTTCTCCATTAATTAATTATAGTAAATTATGCAAATTTATTCCAGAAAAAACAAAAATTGCTTCTTCTCCCTCATTTCTTGATCGATTTTGATTTGGTTTGCTTTATCTGGTAGAGCTAAGTTTGGTTTACTAAAATTCTACACAGAATTTTGAGATTTTACTCCATTGATTAATTATGGTAATTTATACCAAAAATAACAAAAAATGGTTCTTCTCCTTCATTTCATTTTTAAAGTTTTGTGAAAATATTAGGATGATTATTTGCGAATTTGATCCCTCACAGAAAACACTTGATTTGTGGATTATAAAGAGGGGAAAAGAGAGGTTGAAAATTAAATGTTCAGAACGCATTTTGTTTTTTGACCTGTTCAAAAGTGTACCACATAAAATTTACGATATTTGTTGTTGCAAGATGCGGATGAGCGCTACGTCATTGACGTTCTGGTTTAGTAGTTTTATAGTACAGTGCATGATATATTATTTCAGGTTTACAATTGACTAGCATTGCATGTATTCGAAACTTCAACTACCTTATATTTTACTTGTCCCTTGAATATTAGATATAAACATGTATTGCGAACTCTGTGCACTGCATAACAAGTAAATTATTGTTCATCCACCATGTATCAACGTTCGCACCATACACCTCTGCCTCGCTTGCATGGTTGCCTCTATATTTCTTCGTAAATGCCTCCCGGATCTGATTTTGTGGCATCTTGATCGGTAATGTTGATGTTGGGTTTCTTAGGATCTAGATAGGCATGGGCGTCGGTAAGATTCTGGTTGTTCGTTGTGTCTGTATAAGGATCTTGGTATGTGTTGGTATCCGAGTCATCAAATACAGGGTTCCCATCCTTCGAAGATGTCTTATGTGCAGTATTTGGTGGCGACGCGGCTGGTTCAGCGTTTAAACGTCTTTGTTTGATCCTGGAAGTGAAATTCAATTCAAAACAACATTTATTTCCTTTTACCTCGTAACATCATTGAATTTACACACACACACACACACACACACACACAACCGCACACACCCACACACACGCGAACACACACACACACATACACACACACACGCACTCACACACGCGCACACACGCGCGCGCACACACATCACACACATCCCCACACACCACCACATACACACAAAGTTCAGATAAAATTGAAATAGGATTGGTCCTTGGTGAGCACAGCTGCATGGGTGTGATTGTGGATGCCCCTCATAAGAAAAAACCTTCAAACACATGATAAGCAATTAATAGTAGATATTTATTAATGGCCTTTAGAGGAAAATCCTGCAATCACTTTATCCGCTATCATTTTGGCTCACTTTAGATGGTCAAGTATTCGAACTTTTTTAATGTCTCATTCACAATAAATTGTTATCTTTATTTGTAACAATGTTATAAGACAGTGGCATTGAATTCACTTGAATTGTTCGACTGTTGTTGGGTTAACTTACCTTCTATACAGCACCACAATAGATATTAGTATGACGATGATAATGAGGGGTACTATTGCACCCCCTACCACAGCCCCTAGTGGTATCCTGGTTACACTATCATCACCTTTAGCACAAACAAAAATACATATACATGCAATTATGCTGTTATGAATTTTATGCAAACTTTTTGTTGGTCTCCTTCACAAAGTGTTTATTGATTTTGTGTAGGTTATATACACGTTCATAATTAACACCTTTTCTACATGAATTTTCACAAAAAAGAAATAACAAGGAAAAGTTTTGGATTCATACATTCCATTTTCTGCTTATTTTGAATCATACATGATTAGTGCAAGCTTTTTAACTTTTCCAAAGGGATTTAGCAAATCAAACGGAGAATAACGAATAATATTATTGTGAAGATGTAAATAACACTGATAATACATAGGCCTACTTATGTTTATATTATCTGACGGTTACATACGGACTTTAGTTTGACATGTAGCTTTTATTTAATGATGATAATGATAATTATAATGAATACGATTTGTAAGGCACGTAATTCTCTTGAAATCAATTGCTCAAATTTGCTTTTGTAACAAACAAAAAAATCAAATAAAAGCATCTGCATTATAAACAAAACAGGAGAAATGTAGAACATACGAAAATGAAAGAACAATTAATTAAATGCCGTATACATTTTACCTTTACTTTCTTCAAAAAAACCACATTACCTACACAATGTTTTTAAGTATGATATTCAGAGTAGAACAAGTTTCATATGATTCATGCTCTTACCTGAGAGGATGGTCCTTGTATTCACTGAGAGGATGGTCCTTGCATTCACTGGTTCGGACCAATTACTAGAACCAGCTCCATTGACAGTTCGGACCTGACAAGCGTAGACAACAATTTAAAAAATGACAATACAAACATCATCCACACATAAAACACACAAAATAATTGTTTCAATCTTAATTATAGATATTCATTTCGTAGAGAACATGCCAATCTACAATTATCATAAGCGTCCGCATTGCATCAGTTAATATTTAGATGCCATTAAAGCATTCATATGTGATCCCCTTGAGTGCAATCTCACGCATTTAATCGGGGGTTGCTTGTTAGATCAATGACACAAATATGGAAGAGAATCACTTTGTGATTTCATCTAAAAGTATACCGTGTGACTCAAAAAAAAGTTTACACTCAGAAAATTGTCATTTATTTTAAAATTCAGCTATGAACGAAAGGCTATCATACATGTTTTGAAAGAGTGCTTAGAATAACAGCATATTCTACAATGTTCTACACACTGAAAGCATGTACTAAAATGTGAAGCCGATATTGAACATTCCTTTAATCGATGGGTATTAAGCATTAAGACATCTTTAATACCTGAACTGTATAGCTGATTTCACTGGCTTGGTCCATCACAGTATATTCTCCATCAAATTCACCAGTCAATACTTCCTCCATCTTATAATTGCCATCACCAGCTGGATCAGTTCGCTTGTAGCGGATGACATACTTCTGGATGTTACCATTGATGTTAGAAGGTAGAGGGGTAGACCAGGATACAGTGAAGGAGCTTGTAGTACTCTGCGTTATAGCCACATTGGTAGGACTAGGTGCAACTGTTCAGAAAAAAATTATTTATAAAAATGTCACATTGATTATGGTAGACTTATGTATCGATGCTCCAGGGTATCGATTATTATATTCCACATAATAAGAATCTTGCTCTATGATTGGTCAAAAGTAAATCACGTGATGAAAGATAGTTCGCCCATTATTGATGGGAGAAGCAAAAGTTCGTTACACTGTGTAGATAGTACTACTACGATTTATATGATGCAGAAAGAAGTAGTTTATTATAAATACATTTCTATAGATATATTTGAGATCTCATTTCTCTTGGTGATCACCGACGATATGTAAAGTGTAAACATATTCGTACATAAAGGCCACTAACGTTCAACCCGACCTGGATTTAAGCATCGTCTGAAGTTGTGTTTAATAAAAAAGTTAGACCGATTTAAGTCTAATTCTAACAAACTGTAGTCCTCGAGACGAACCATACAGTTTGCAGTCTAGTAGAAGAAATGACTTTCACTCTATCAAGATTAATTAAATGTATAAATAAAGTTGAAAGTATATTGTGGAATCAACAAAAATAGTAATGTTAGAAGTAGGTTGTGACAAATATATCGACAAGAATATTAACTTTTTCGCTTAACCGGCAAATCAACTACCCCCCCCCCCACCCAAGAAATAAAAAAAAAACATCCCAAGATAAACACCGACCTTCTTCAAGTGTTTTTCCGATAGTCTCACTGCTTCCGTCACTCTCCTCGTCTTTATTTGATGCAGTCAGTTGGATGGTATAGTTCAGATAGGTGTCTAACCCTCTTAACGTGTAAGAGCTTGTGTCATTAGAAACCATGAGAGAGTTTAAAGAAGCTGACCCAGTGGAAGCGTAGTAGATCATATACTGAGTCACACCACTCCTGCATTCTGCCAATTCCGAGGGGAGGTGCTAAAACATAAAAGTGCAAATACATGTTACATACATCACAACCACATAAAGAAGTCACTTTCGCACTAATAAACACAACTACAAGATGTTATCAATTTTTTTCTACAATTTCTCGCATGGGTAAGGATGCTTCAATCAACATGATGGAGCTTTTTGCTGATCGAACAACAATCTCTTGATCACAAAACATGCTTATATTCCCTACTTTCTGTGGAATAAAATCGAAACTCCAGTTCATAAACCAAAACAGCTCATACTTTCAAACTAGCAAGCAAAGACATTTGTACTACACAAGACGTATTTCATTTCGTCAAACATTCAGGTACGTAAAAAACATCCGAAATGCCGGAGGCATGATAGTTAGTGATGTTGAATAGTTCGTATTTCGCATATTTCGAGGAAATTGTAGGTAAAATTATGTCTAATCAATGTTGTAAATGCATACCAGCTCCATATCCTAACGATAAGGTTCTACCTGTATGTAATATGACAAAATATGACTATTTACAGTTACGCATTTTGTGTTCAGAACGAGTCTTTTCATCCAACTACATTTCGCTAAGTGACCAATCAGCTATTCTTAAAGAGTTCTTACCTCCCATGTCACCTCAAGCTCTTTAGCGTTGATGGCTGCCACATTTATTCCAGGTGGAGAGGCACTGGGTTCTGAAATTCAAATATTATACAGAAGATACTAAAAAAGGCCTATAGTAGATAGATTCAATATATGAACATGCTCATCATGGTAATGATAGACTGCTACAACAGGTACTCTTCATGTGGTTTTGAACTAAATGTCAATAAGTCAAACTTAAAACTACCGTTGGGCAAAACACAGTGAAGGATACTATAAACATATTTGGGAAAATGCATATTTTGTAGAAGAAATTTACTGTTTCAAATTTTAGAAAGAGAGAACAATTAAAAAGGAGAATGCAGATGCATGGAATGGAATTTTTTTTCTTTCTATGAAACAGATTTTACTCACAGAACTAAATAAGTTAAAAAGTCTTCAATCATTCGAAAGTGCTGAAATATCTTAATTTGTATAAATAATTTAGTTATGATGTAATACATGTACTCTTTTGTAGATAAATGTACATTGAAAAATAAGCATCTTCACGAAAAGAAATTATTCTACACTCGAAGCCATGACAAACCCTTGGCAGATTCGAGCATTTATCTTCTGAACATAACTTACTTTTACAGCGAGTTATTGTGTTGTTCCTCTGAGAAAAAGGTCCTGTTCCACCTGTTCCTTCCCTCACTGCTGCTACACGAAACCTGTAATCGGTGTCGGGTATCAGGTTACTAACGATGGCTGATGTTGTGAGTTGGTCTACTCTCTGATCCGTTACCCAGACACCATCCTTCTTTACAAAGACATCATATCCTACCAGAGGAGGATCACCTTTGTCATCTTCTGCAGACCATGCATTCCATCGAAGACCTACTGTAGTTGACGTGGTGCTCACTATCACTGGTGCTTTCTCTATGACTGGCAGATCTGACAAACAGAAAAGAGACATAAATAATAATAAAATCGATTGAAATAACTGTCAAAATCAATGACACACATATAATCTAAGTTTCTTTCATCAAGTAAATATGAAAATAAAATTTACCGAAGTACACGAAAAAAATATATAACTGATTCGATCCCCTGTAACCCAGTATGCAGACAATGTGACTGAAAATGATTCTGCATTTAAAGATAGTGAATTCCTGCTTTCTATTACACACGTATCTCACAGAAGTACAGTGGAGAAAAGCGATGTCACGCAGTTTGCTCACCATATGTTGCGCTGGTATAAGCCGTAATGGGGTAGCCTTCATTTTCAACATATAGAATGCAAACGTATCCCCCATATTCCTGTGGATACACACTATCAACATCAAAGACAACAGCTCGTTCTGACCCTGAGACAGTGCTTGATCTCCTGGTGATTCCTGTCCTGTTTACGGTGCTTCCAGTACGTCGATACAAATCAACCGAGGATTTACGGGGAAGTGGGGTACCCTCAACATAACATGTGAAGCTAGATGGTTGATATGGGTTCACTCTCACTGGAACCAATCTTGATATTCCTGTCAATATCCAAATAAAGCTTTGATATATTAACTAAATACACATCCACATACAACAGTTAGGCAGACTCTAGACCAATTATTTCATTCAGAATTTGCTTGCTGTATGTAATTAACTTACAATACATATGACAATCACTTTGTAGAACATTAACCAATCATGATACTCAAAAATTAAAGAATGGTTTTGTTTGTATTAGAAAGAATGACAAATTACTTAAATGTTTATATTCCTGTCACAAACCAAGCCAAAATACAATAATCATATTCAACTTTACATGTCAAGAGCAGCATGAGATTGCAAACCAGTCAGTCATAATATTAATATTACTATCAAGAACTAAGCAAGAACATAAGAAATATGTAATACACTCGTACATGAACATGCAGGTGTACCTAAACAAGGATGATTTTAATATGATTATTTTGTTCAAAATCTTATTGCTTGATGCCATACTCCTGGCAAGCAAATCATTGATCTACTTAAAAAACCACTCACTATTATTCATCATGATGTCTTTCCACTTGATTAACAACAAAGATTAACCAATAACAGATAATCATTTGGACGAAAAAAGGTTTTTGTTATTGTTTACATTAAACTTCCACTTACTGCATGTATAGTGTAGGAGAAATTACATAAATAAAATATATTGTAATAAACATTTGCATCAAGAGAAACGATACAAAAGAGTTTGTATACTTATGTGCACAAGTGTCTGCAACAAAAACAAACGAATAAGACTAATAATTATCATTATCATAATTATCATCTTATAGAGTACCGGTATCCGCCTGGTACTGATGTACATGGTGTTATACAAATAAATTAGATTATATTCCGTTCTTGTATAGCGCATATCACATTATAACGTCCCTGTGCGCTTCCAAATAGCTTTGGAAATTATTGCCCTAGCTTTAGCTCCGGCAGCCGTTATCAGCGCACAGTGCATTTCAAGGAATAATCCTATCAGGTACCCATTTACCTCACCTTGGTCGAGTGTGGCAAATGTAGATTAATGTCTTGTCAAAGGACACTAGTGCCGCGGCGGGACTCGAACCGAGGCGTAGACTGTGTGATCAACAGTCCGGTGACATATCTACTCGACCACGATACCTCTTCGATAGCTTATACTGAAGTACAAGACCTTAGAGGCTGTTCACACCGGCAGAGATAGCGCGCGCTAGACCGCGCTATCTCTGCGGTTTGGAAGGTACAACGTCGTTTCGGTCCGCCCAACAGTGAGCCACGGCGAACCAAAACGGCGTGCCACTGGAGCACCTCTTGGGGGTGGTCCACGAGAGATAGCGCGGTCTAGCGCGCGCTAGAAAAAAAGGGGTGCTACGATAGACCGCGCTATCTCATTGCGGTGTGAACAGCATAGTCTACAAGATTATTGAGCAAGATTGTGAATTACAGCTAAACAAAATGAAATACATACACACATAGTTCCATATACACTCTGAGGTTGCTTATAATCTGAACCATTTTCAGCTGAACAAGAAGAAAAACCAGAATACAAAGTGCTGGGTATAATTACTTTGACTGCAGTACGGTTCAATCCAGATATCAAGGCATTGTCCATTGCAAAGACCTCTCTTCTTCTCACAGGCCTGTGGAGCACAATGACATTGCTGAAGACAATCTAAACCAAAGGTACCCGCTTCACACTCTGAAAAACATAAAACAAAGGTTGAGTATATTGGAAACACTTGGTCAATGGTCAATGATTACACCTGAACACAAAAGCCGAATATAACTTCGGCTGAGATCTACTGGAAATAGGGTTGTAAACGCAAAAATCAAATCATTTTAATCGTATAAATGAGGAGATTTTCCTCTGGCTCATGTCTTTGTCAGTATGTGTAACTAAGAAGTAAAGGTGGTTAAGAAGTAAAGATGGCCTGCAAATTAGACATGTAAAAAATGTTAAATATCTTGGGGTGTGGTTGACCCAACATCTTAACTGGAATGAACACATTAAGTATACTTCCAGCAAAAATTCTTCAAGGTTGGCACTATTTTTTATTTAGTTATTTATTTATTTATTTCTGATATTTATACAGGGTGGCACATATCACCAATTTGGTGGTCTTCCATGAGGCCCTGTTTGGTAACAATACAAACAAATAACAGCATCAAAAACAAAAAAGATAAATACACAAGCATATAAACAGGTAAAATACAAATTAATTGGAATCCCCTTGAAATAACTGATCATTCAAGAATCATCCTTGATCATTTACAATAAATAGGTGAATGGAATTGTCAAATTAAATACAATTTAAAAAAACGTTCATTTAATAATCTGATATAGCTTAACGCACGGGATACCAAAATTGTTATATACATATTTACATTCAATTGCTCTTTAACTAATACACTTAGGTTGTTTATAAGATGGAAAATGGATACATTACATGTATGAATACATGATATAACGATAACCATGTCAACCAAATTTCATAATTTTGCAAATAGGAAGAAAAAAAACGGTTACCTTCGCACGAAACCACCAAAAGTTCACTTACACATCATTTACAGATAACAGGGCTTTTAGAGCGTGTTTAAAACTGTTCAAAGTAGGTGACATTTTGACAGGACTTTTAAGTTGGTTCCATACTCTAATTCCAGAAATTAGAGGACTATTTTTTATAAGTGTCCATCCTAAATTTGGGTACACACAATGCATCCCTTACAGCATGTCTTGTGTTGTGATCATGTAGTGAACTAACATGATGTAAATCTTGTTTTAAGTATGTTGGTGCCATGTCATGCATTGATTTATACATCATCACTGCACGTCCAAACTGGAAACGTGTCTGAATAGGCATCCATCCTAAGCGACTAAACATATCATTTGAAGATACTTCAAATCCTTCTCCCAGCACTACACGTGCAGCTCGTTTTTGAACCTTTTGTAATTTAATCGTTTGTCTTTGAAATCGCTCAGACCACACCGAGGAACGATGGCATTATCCAGAAGTTTTAGAGATCTTGTTGGAACATAACTTTTGGCTCGCTTAATTACACTGATATTTCTTTGAGCAGTTTTAATAACTTTTTCCACATGCTCCGTCCAACGTAACTCCTCGTCAATCATGACACCAAGGCATTTTGGCACTTTTACTCTTTTCAAACAGCTGCCGTTTAGTGTGACAGAAAAATCCTTTACTCCGTTAAGAACTGATCGTGGTCCAATAAGCATCACATTTGTCTTATCTGCATTAAGAACTAGACGGTTTGTCGTTACCCATGAAAATATGTTTTCCATACCTTTGGTTAGCTTTTGTTCTACCTCTGTGACATTACTCCCGCTGACTGTTAGAGTTGTGTCGTCAGCATACATATCAACAATGCCATCATGAATACATTTGGGTAAACTATTTATGTAGATAGAAAAAAGGAGTGGCCCTAGAATCGAACCTTGTGGGACTCCCATCATAACTTTTGAGGAACTCGAAGTAGCCCCTTTGAAACAAACCATCTGTTCTCGGTTGGACAGATATGATACAAACCACTAAATACTAGTATCAGAACATCCAATGGCTGTCAATTTATGTAACAGAATATCGTGATCGACAGTGTCAAATGCTTTCCTCAAATCAATGAAAGCAACACCTTTAACTTATTGTTATCTAAATTCAAAGCCCACTGGTTTACAATTTTCATTAGAGCTGTTGCAGTAGAGTGAAGAGGACGAAAGCCTGACTGATTAGGATACAATATTTCATTTTTGTTTAGAAAACCACATAGTTGAAAATGCACAGCTTTCTCTAGAATCTTGCTCACAACAGATAATACCGAAATTGGTCTGTAATTACCGGGAGTGGACATATCACCAGTCTTATAAATTGGAATCACCCTTGCTTTTTTCAAGCCTTTTGGTACATGTCCTGTTGTAATTGACTTATTGACTTAAGACGTGTCAGAAAATATCTAACGATAGACATTGCCAAGTTATTAGCAAATGCTCTGGTATTACCATATTTTGACTATTGTTGCACCTCATGGTCAAATTGTAATCAAGGTCTTCGGGATACACTGATTAAGTTGCATAAACAGAGGTACTTACCCCAAGTTCAGAAATGTTCTCAAAACTGAAGTGGATGAACATGGAAAAACGTAAGCGATTCCAGAAATGTAAACTTATGTTTGATATTGTGTACGGTAATTCCCCCTCATATCTTCAAGATATGTTTACTCAGTCTGCAACAACACATCGTTACAGCACTTGAATATCTGATACTCGTGGGTTAGTCATCCCAAAAATTAGAACTGAAAATGGTGGAAGGGCCTTTTCTTGTGAAGGTGCAATTATCTGCAACAACCTCCCTAGTGAAGTACGAAATGCTCAAACCAAGCAGTCTTTTTGCACAAGTTATTTGAGAAAGACGTAAACAAAACCCAAAACACGCAAATGGGGTGCCTGTCAAAAACTTGAATATATAGTACTTACCAATTACAGATTACGGTATTTCTCACAATTATTATCATACAAACTACAAATTATGTATACATTATGTTTAGACACTCTTTTACTACGATATAAGGATTTGTTTTCCAAATTTGTTTATGTATGTCTTTGTTGATTTGTTTTGACTTGCTGAGTTTACACTTTACAAATTTTTATCTGTATTCTTAGTATCATGTTTACTATACGCCATGTAATGATGTTTTCATGTATATGTATGTCTTTATATGTATTTTATGTTATGAAGGGCCCCCAAGTATATTCGTATCTTAACTACTGATGGGGCTACCCTGTTGAAATAAAACGAAATAAACAAAATAAATACAAAATAAAAGAAAAAAGTCCAGGACTATCAGAAATATGTTACGGCTAGCTGTTCTGGGACCACCTGTAGATCTGCTGTCCTCTTATTTACTATTTTGAGGTGGACAGCTCACCATGCTGGCTGCAACTCTCTGTGACTTTTGTCACAATTAGGATACAGCTCTCTCTCTCTCTACTACAAAATACCACTGGGGATTCGTATGTGATGGCTTAAGATGTATTCTAAGGAGACCAGACGTTTGCTCATGGGACAAGTCCGGGCTTTATTTCATCAAAGGTACGCGTTAGGGTTCGGGATGCAATTGGGTTTCGGGTGATGTTTAGGGTTAGGGTCAGGTCACTGTTGGGTCAATGATTGAAGCTAAGAACTTGGTGAGTGTAGGATGATCATGACAGGGAACAATTATTGCAGGTGTATAAGTATCGTTTAACACATAATGGCTGCTGATTTTAGAGGTTATAGTTTAATCAACTCAACTGTAGCTGTGTCTCGAGGCAGAGTACAGTAAGTTGTAAGATCACATTGGGCAATAGTTTCAACCTTGCTCCTCAAAGCAGTCAATATTTGTAAACTAGAATCCTCTTCCGGATTATACGTGCACATAAATGTATTTTTTCTATCACAGCACTATGTACAAAAATTAGGTTGATATAACTGATAAACATACACGTCTTTCTGAGTGTACATACATGTGTACGTAAACACATTCTGGTTTATCATGCAAACTCAACCGTGCTTGATGGAACATTGCATGGAATCTGGAGATAAATGAATAGGAGTTGATATAGAAAATTCAACATCATTTATTGAAAAATAGTATTTCACCTTCACATGCGATCTGGCCACTGCGCACTTTATATCCTAGAGCACACTTCTGTTCAGGGCACTCTCCAGTATCTTTATCACATGGTTCATCATTTAAGCAACGACATTTAATAGTGCATTGAGATCCAAAGTAGCCGTCGTCGCATTCATCTGGAACTGAGGATGATTAAAATAATATTTTTAGAAATAACAATTTACGAATACTACTAGCAAATAATATTAGCTCATTACAACTAGATTGTTGCCTTATACATAATCATTAAAAAAAAAAATTGTGCACTGTTGATTTCAATTATTACACATATTCTTGAATTTACAGTGACTTCACTAAATAAATTCGTGTCTTTTTTTAGAGAAATTTCCTCGTCTATTAATAAACATGAATTGGACATTGTGGCAGATTAGCCCGGTGTTAAACGAGTTATCGAAGAAAGTCGTCCACTCGTCTACTTCTACTACTTCTACTAAAAAAAATGGAATACATGGGATGAGTTGTCCCCAATAATCAGCTTCAGAGGGATTCTTAAAAACAGAATAGCTTCAAGTTAATTTTAACCATTGTCTACTGAATTATCTTATTCCAAACATGTATACTACAGGAGCCATCCGGGTCACGTAGGCAACGGGGTAAACAAATAACAAAATAACAAAAATTACACAAAATTACAGTGCACATGTAACATTCTGATTTATCTTATTGTAGGAAAGCATTTATGTCATATCATTGCTGACCATGACTTACTTTGACAGTTGTCCCCGGACCAGCCAGTCTGACAACCACCTGTACATATTCCACTATAGATAGCACATGATGACCCTACTGTGCAGTGACATGTCTGTGAACATCCTGGACCATATGTACCATCAGTACATACTGTAATAGAATTCAAAATAAAACATCAGGATATACAGATATATACATTCATTAAAAAGAAATATTTGACACGTAACAATAAATTATTCTTTTTAATTTCTCTCCTTCTCTTCCTCCTTTCTTTTCTTTTCCTTCTTCTTCTTCTTCTTCTTCTTCTTTTTCTTCCTCTTCTTCTTCTCATTCTTCTTCTTCTCCTCCTTATTTTCTCCACTGAGTTGCGCCTAACCTCACTTTTGAACCTAATCACTTTATGGTTTGTGCTTTGGATAGTCAAACAAAAACAAAACTAGAATTGTTTGAGAATGGGAGCTAGACATATGATTACTTTTTGGCCTTGTAGATATTTTCACTATCAGAATTTGATCACAATTAATTGACTATCAGAATACTCACGTGTGTTACATGCAAGACCACGGGCACCGACGTCACATGAACATCCGTAAGGATCAGGAAGGCAAAAAAGAAACCCATGACATCGTGTGATGGTAGGAGCAGAGCTAAATTCACATCGGAACTCGCAGTTCAATCCAAATCGATTTCCACCAAAAGTTCTACAAACTGAAGAAAAAAATAGTTGCATTGTTGTCTAATGATCTTTCGAACCAATAGTTTTTACTACACATGAATGAAACCCTCCAATACCATGTATAGCAAAGTTCGTCGATGTTAACAATTACTGTTGTTGAAATATTTATTTAGATATTATTTAGACATTTCATATAGTATTAATGAATAAGAAACAAAAGCAATTCTTTTCCCCTGCTGTATATTATTTGTCATTAATTTTTTTGTATTGATTTACTTGATGTGCAGTGTATAACAACATGTATAATGACCAGTAGCTCTGGCAGAGAAGGTCACTTTACAAAGTATTTACAAAGTCATTTAAGTTTATATAACAGACTATTAATAATACATGAGAGATAATACATTATTAACAGAATTATAAATGATATACCAATATTACTCTTGTAAACGATTCCTGGTAAAATGAAGATTTACAAGTACACATATTAAAATTTCAAAAGACATGATGTATAATGCTATTCTGATTTCTCTGTCCTCTCGGCAGGTAAAAGAATATTTGAAATGAACATGTAAAATAGATGTACATTACTTTGTTCATTTCCAATGGAATAAATCAATAAATATCTCCCTCTATTCATCTATTAAGAGATTTAAATTAACATCATTCCACATGAAGTTCTGCTGGCCTACTTACTTTCTAAACAATTCGGTCCCTTGAAGTTGTTAGGACAGATACATAGACCAGACTTGTCATCACAGACTCCGCCATTGTAGCATTTATCACAGATACCGTCACACTCAGGGGGACCCCACTTACCAGCAGGGCATTCTAATATGAGATAGGGAGAGTGAAAAATAATTATCTTAAATACATTTCACTAAAGATTACATTAGCAAAAATAGAGTAGATAATTGAAAAGTTGGTTTAACATTAGAGTTCTAGAATTTAAATTTTCAACGTGGAACTATAGTGTTATCAGGCGCGGATCCAGGATTTCTGAGGCGGCGGGGGGGGGGGGGGCAAATTTGAAATTATGCGAGCCAAATATTATAACGTAATGGTGACACCGGCAGAGGCGAAATTAGTAAAAAAAAACATTTGGGGACAAGGGGAGGGGGGGGGGGGGGGGGTAGACACAAACAATCCGCATCACCCCACTCTTACATGCAGGCCCCGCTAAACACTTCTCTAAGTAGGTGGGGTGGTATTTACGATCAGGTAGAGCGTAGCGTGAATTGGCGTGGGGTAGAGCCCCCAGAAGCTCAGGGGGTATAGGCATTTAATAACCGTCAGATGAAGTTGATAACTTATTTGTGGCACTGACAGGACACAAATTGGTGTGGGGTCCAGGGGCGGAGCCCCCGGACACTTAGGGGTTTTAGGCATTAAATTACCGCCAGATTAGCATCCAGGGGTCTGCCTTAGGGCCCTAGGTGGGATCCAGGGGCAGAGCCCCCGGAAGCTCAGGGGTTTTTATGCATTTAATCACGGTCAGATGAGCACATTTTGACACCTCATTTTGACACAAAGGCAGGCCACCATTCTTTTTTTTTTTTTAGGAATTTGCCATTTTCCAACAAACGCATAAAAAGTATAATTTACCACAGATTGAGGAAAAATTTCGGAAAATTATGTCATTTCAGCAACATTTGTAAATCACCGGTATCGAATTTGAAATAAACAAAGTTTGAATTTTATTTGGGGGCATCTGTCCCCCAGCCCCCCATCAGTAGGCCAGTGGCCCCCAATCTACACCTTGTTGGCGGGAAAAATCGCAACTGATCTCTCCCTACCTTTCTTCTTTCTCTTTTTTATTTTTCCCTTTCTCTCCTTTTTTTCTTTCCATTCCCTTCCTTCTCTCTGTTTTAGGTTTGATGGGGGGGGGGGGGGGGAGGCAAGGGCCTTTCAGCCCCCCGATCCACACGTTGTTGGCGGGATTAATCGTAACTGTTCTCTTCTTCTGTTCACCCTTTTTTTTTCTTCTTCCTCTTTTTGTTCCCTTTTAGCTCTCCTCTTTCTCTTTCCCTTCCTTCCCCCTTTTTTTTGACGGAGGCAAGGGCCTTTTGCCCCCCCGAACTACAACTAGTTGGTGGGAAAATTGCAACTGATATCCCCCTTCTTTTCTTTTATCCTTCCTCTTTTTTCCTTCCCTTTATCTCTTCTTTTCCTCTTTTCTTTCCCTTTCCTTCCTTCTCTCTTATTTTTTCATGGGGGGGGGGGGGGGGGTAACAGTTGGGAGGCAAGGCCCTTCCGGCCCCCTGTCTCCTTCTTCCCCCTTTTCTTTTCTACTTCCTTTTCTTTCTATCCCTTTCTCTCCTCTTTCCCTTCTCTCTTTCTCTCTCTCTTTTCCTCCTTTTTTGCGGGGGGGGGGGGGGCAAGGACCGCTCGGCCTTCTGGATCCGCGCCTGAGTGTAATTCATTGGCTCACTTACATTCCAAATATATTCACAAGCAATTTTAAACTACCCCTCTGTACAAATCACATCAAAGATTATGACATGCTAAACCCTGGACTTCATTATTTGAAGTTTTATACATCAGTTGAAATTAAATTTGCAAACGGGAACAAGCTGTCCATCTTACGGAAATGTGTCATCCCAAGAGATCAGACTTGGTCATTATGTACCAGAATGCTCTAAACTAACGCTATTCATAAATGTTCACATTCATTTATTCTTTAATAATATTAAAAAATATAAATGGATATGAAAAGATTATCATCATGTGACTTACATAATCCAACCAATATGAAATTAATATTTTGGGGCACAATATGAAGCAAAACTTTTTTTGCATGCATCATACCAAACAATTTTATCTCAGAGAACAAATGACCCCTCTCAAGAAGCCCAGTCTCAGTAAAGCACGAATAAACTTATACATGTACCTCTGACGATGAGTCTGTATAGTCCACCTCTATTTTGATTCCTCTCGTTATCATAGTAGATCTCATAGATTCCTTGGTCTGATGTCTGGATCGGGTTTGGGAAGCTGATCTGAGTCTGCCCATCAAATGTCAGAACCTCACTTCCATCTTTCATCCAAGTAATTACGTTGTCACTCGCATCAGCATTATGACGCGTAGTCATGCTGATCCTCACTCCGGTGTCATTAACATTAACTGTCTTTGTAAACAATCCATTTCTTGATATGAATTTAGCTGTTAAAAGAGATAATGATATGAATTTAATGCATTTCATGTAGCCTATACAGGTCACGTGTAGCTGTTTACTCACCAAAGGAAACCGTATGCTTTTATGAGACTCTGCATCGAATTAGTTTACTGTTGATATATTTCAATTACAAGTTGAGATCATTCGAATGTACATAAACAGCATCAACATAATTGAGATAATTTTAGGCTCAACTCATTTACTCAATTATTTGGTGTTATTTAAGTCTCAAATTTCCTAACAAAATCCTCCTCTATAATCTCTAGATTCATTCTCATTATTTATGTCAAATCTCAAGCCTTTGTAATAAAGCCATTCTCAAGCATTCATCTGTAACAAGTACGTAAGCGTCATAAGCGGAGCCATTTTATTGGAGTACTCTCGCTCCTGATCCTCGTTTTTAATGCGGATTATAAATGAACTATATCCAAAGAAATCTCGCATAACAGCAAACAGTTCATATAGCTCAAGATACCCAACCTCTGCTGTTACAGTACATCGTGACTGTGTAATCTACATTTGACGAATACATCTTTAAAAATAAGTTAGGGAGTCCTATATAATAAATCAAGAAACTCTTGGATGGATTCAGTCATTCTTGTCAGATCGCTACCAACTGGTTTTGTTTTTGGGTACATTTTTGAATGATCCAGTATGACATTTAGGGTTCCTCAACATCCCAGTTTGGCTGCCACACCTAAAGAACCATATTTCTGCTCTTGAGGCTATTCAAAGACGATTTTCTCTTTCTTGTTTCCATACCACATTTCTAACACTCTTACTTACGAACAACATCTGGAGAAGCTAGATTTACCCCCCTTTTATACTCGTCTCATTTATTTGACAGTGTCTTTTGTTGTAAAATGCATCCGTATTTTTTTTTTTATAATGTACCAGATTATGCTCTTCCCATTCCCAGTTCAAGACGCTCCCATAGTCTCTTCTTCAATCATCAACTTGCAAGATCAAATGCTCTGAAATTGTCATGCTTTTATGCCTTTCCTAGGTTCCTCTATATCACCATGTTTGAATGCGCTACTTAATGTTACATATCTGTTTTGAAACAATAATCTGATGTACTGTTGAAGTATCGGCTCCCTGGATTTATTTATTAGGTGGTCTGTCGTCTACGACAGATCACCTATTGTTTTCGTCAGAATTTTCTTTCTTCCTTTATTCTTTCTTTTTATTTATTTCTTCACTTTTTTGTTCACAAGATAACTCAAGATCGGTTTAGTCAATTTCTTTTAATTTTGGCACGGTCATAGGTCATTGTCATGAGACGTGACAGGATCATTTTCAAGGTCATCAAGTCTTCATGACGTCATTCAGGCGCCAATTTGTGAAATCACATTATCCATCATATCTTCATGATGCGTCATCAAAGGTCATTCATATTCATATCACATATACTTAAGGTCAAGGGTCAACAGGTCACGTCATCAAACGTCAAATAATGGTCATGACGTGCGCGTCAAAATTTAAAAATGTTCATAATCACTTATAGGTAATACAAAATGTTGGGAAATTTTGAAAATTGGATGGATAGTGATTCTTTACAATTTTGATATATTTGGATGCCCCTGCGGATGTATTATAAGCACTAAAAAATGTAGCCCCTAAAACACTTCTGCTTTTGAGAAAAATTGAATATAAAAATTTACCGGTGCTCCCGGTAAATTTTGATAAATTTCAAATAGCGCCTACGGCCGTACGATGGTAGCTGCGACCATGAAAATCTCAGAATATGTAGTTGTGGTATATAATTTCCAAACAGGAACAGCTAATTGGTCGATTTTAGTCAAAAACATTTTTTATAGCTTAATTAATTTTTTGACCTTGAGAGGGAGCTATACATCATAAAGAGTTTATTATTTACAATTTCATAACTTGAAACTCGATTTTTAGCGCGACAACGATCACTGAATATTGTAGGATCGCATACGCTTCCAAAATATGTTCATTTGAACCAAATTCATGACCCCATACCAAAACTTTGTATTACGTTTAAAGGCAGGCTTTACTACTTCAGCTAGAAGGGATTATACGACCCAGCGAGCCAGCGAGGTCAATGTGACAGGTGGCTATCTCATTATTAAACTCAGCTCTCATTTAAAGTAGATATTCATTGATTTTAAATACTAACTTTATTTTCATTATTGCAAAGTTGAAACTTTGATTCGACAACGTTATCAAAATTCAATGCTTGGAAACATTCGAAGCAGTGATTATTATAAATTACAAAACGCTTTAATACAGCCCCGGCATAGCACCTGAAGAGCTCTCCGAACGCTACTGAAATGTGTGAGATCACAGTATGGACATGACTTGCACAAGCAGACGATGTCCCATGACATCTTACACATTTTCAGTGCCTGTGTTTTCATCTTTTCTCGAGTTCTTTCTCTTACTTCACTACCGTCAGGCTAAATGTATAATCCATTGCCTCACTCTAAACCCCGCGCATGGTTTTATTTTGATGAAAAATGCAGCGATACAAAAATAAAGGAATCTGTCGCTTGTAAACAAAATAAGACGCCATTGTATATTCAGCTGCACACACTGAGGTAAGTTCGGCGTTTCAAGAGGGAACAAATGCCGTCCTTAATATCATTCCGGGGGGTTTTAATTTGAAAGTCTGGTTTCTTTGATTGTTAATTAACCCCTATCCTGTGTATTTACAAGCAAGAGATTTTAGTTATCAGAATCAGGTCATATCCCCCTTTGAATGGTTTGACATGCCATTACATATATATGTATATACTAAACTCATTATAATTTGAGAAATAATAGCTTTGCAATTATGTTCATTCTCTATGGGATGTCGTCTGCTTGGGCGGTGTTGGTCCATATAGTGACTTCATTAAAACATCGTTATTTTCCCGGCGAATCTCTCGTATATCCCAGCTGCTATGGAGGTGGTTGTATTTGTATTTTTATAAATCACCCGATATGTAATGATCTAAAACTTGTCCGATGGCCATCTGTTAGCTTACCAGTTTCTAGTGATATATTAGTTGAAATATTTGTGATCTTCTTTGAATTTCACCTTTAACATAAGAAAAAGAGGATCATGGGGGATCAACAGGAACGGATTGGGGAAGTTTTCTATATAGAGGGAGCAAGTAGCTACAAGTAGGATAGTGTGCCTAAACGTGAGTACGAATCAGGTCATTTTAAGCATTTTAAAATTTTGCGCGCGCGTTTTCGCGCGTAATGTCATTTTGCAACATAGAAACGCCATAGAAACGTCATCATATTTGGCACATTTTTCCAAGCATTTTGATACCTTGTTAGCTTTTTTTCTGACCAGTAATAACGCAATGAGCGTCCGTCAAAGTTGACAGCACGCACGGACCTGCCCTATCTTTATCCACAATACACGGGCAAAACATGCCTATACAAAATTTATTGTAACTCTTCAGAATGGATAGATTATGAGTCGGAAATATGATTTCATGTCTCATTTGACCCTCAATTAACTCAATTAACTCATGACGTCATCATAATGGCCTCCGAACTCAAAATTTAAATTTGCCTATTATGACGTCAGCATATTTTTGGAAAATTGATTGTATCTCTGTAAATATTGATCGATTTTCTTCCAAATTTTGGTATGTTCTAGCTGAGACATTTCTCAACAAAAAAATTGCCACAATTTTTCATTTTTACAATAGCATCATGGCGTATTTTTTGCGATTAAAGGAGGCATAGCAATTTTTCACATTTTGCGTGTATTATCTGAAGGACATGACTTTTTCGCAAAACTGGATTCTATATTCCCGTCTTTCGCGAGCAATATCGCCGTCGTTTTAGCTTTGTTTTCGCTGAGCTTTGAATATGTTGTAGCTGAGACAATGAACTATCACAAATGTGCCCTGTATTTTCGATCAGATACCGGGATCATGCTCATATTTTACTTGCAAAGTGGGAGTTGATAATTCCATTTTCCGTTCACATGTAATCGCTATGGGTAATGTTTTGGTATATCGGTAACGCACTTGACTTCCGACCTCGAGATCCCTGGGTCGAGTCCGGGCGTCTCCAACAATTTTTGTTCTCACTTTTTTCTTTCTTTTTGACTTTTCACTGATCATAAGAATTGAAGACAGACCACCTAATTTGTCAAAGTGACGAATTAAAGTCTAGTTTTTTTCTCATGCCGTTCATGATTGGTATTGGTCTCATAACATTATCAAGTTAAACATAATGTAATATTTATGGAATTGGACTGTGTTGAACCTTACTTGCTTATACATATTTCTACTTTTACTTCTACTCTCAATTTACCTGTCAAATTATAATGAAAATATGTACTCAAAACTCAGTTCATCGAGATAAATGTTAATTCTAAAATGAAGGACTTCACTGAGCATGTTACATTGTCCTTAAATTGAATATATATTCCTGTTTTATATAAGCAGATAAGTGATAGAGATTGATTTGATTTAATTATCTCAATTTATTTAGGCCATAAACGCATGTGCAAGACTTGTCTATCGTCGGTCAACATTCACTTCAACCGCACCTCTTCTGAGAGAGAGCTCCACTGGTTGCCAGTCCGTCAAAGAATATCATTCAAAATGTTGTTATTTGTTTATAAATCATTGAGTGGTCAAGCTCTTAGATACATAACAGAACTGCTTCAAATCAAAGTCTAGTCACACAATCTTAACCTGCGCAGTCCCACAGATATATTATTGTTCCAGATTCCCCATGGCAAAACTAAAGTAGCTCTCGGGGACCGTGCTTTCGCTAGTACTGCCCCAAACTATGGAATAGCTTGCCAATTATGAAGCACTTCATCTCTCAATGTCTTCAAATCCAAATAAAAAAACATACTTTGTCAATTGAGAGATCCTGTTTTGTAGAATTTAGTTAAAAAAAGGAGCTCTGTACCAGCGCAGCTGAACATATTTTGTATAAAAGCTGCGCTATATAAATGTATCATTATTATTAAAAAAAATGTATGAATATTGTTGTTGCGCTTTGTGTTTGTTCACATGCCGTAAAGGATTGTTGTTGTTTTTCATGCCAAAAAATTCAACATACATTCCATCTTTCTATACATTTCTTTACGTTTCTGTGAGTTATTATGCTTGATGGATGTACTAGAAATCTGTTATTTTTACCGTTACTTCTTAATTCTAGTCACATGTAAGACCAGCGGACGTGGAGAACCTCATGACAGAATCGAAATTTTTGAGGTAATCCTTAGGCGTCCGCTGGTGGCATTTCCACTGTCTTGTTACTTTTTCATGTTATATGTTCTGTGTTTGTCATTTCTATTTCGTTTATACATGTTCCTGGAAATTAAATAGATATACAAAAAACAAAAAATCTAATTAGACTCTACAATCTTACCATCACTTCGTTGGAAAAATGTAGTAACCCTTGTAACATCTCGATCAGGTTTAGAAGCCTCACAGTGGAAAGGACCGAAACCATCTCTATCCCATCCATCTCCTGTGGGGAATGTGACCAGTCTGACGTATAAAAATCCGTTACTTGGGTATTGCTTATCTTCTGGTGGTGATCTGTTTGTTGTTATTGGTGCTGATCGACCAAATGATAGTAAAGCATCTCTATCTGGTTCACTGCGCCAACATTGATACTCCACAAATGAAGATGTATCTACATTGGTGTATGAGCGGGTCAACACTGTGATATGAATAACCTCACCTGGAATACCAAAATAGAATATAATGTTTTGTTTACAGTATACGAAATTATTCATACCCATACCAAGTTTTGCAATTTCTTAAGTATGGAAAAAACTATGTTTCTTAAGAATGTAACATATTACAGCTTACATCAAAAAGTATATAACAAAGGCCCTAATTGAACCAATTCTCATTCTTGAGTTATGGAAACAAAATTACAATGGGTATGAATAATTCAGTTGTTATCCGTAAGTCTATACTCATTTTCATTTTATTCAAACCCTCAAGTAACCTTTATGTACTATATGCAATCACTTAAACAATAACATAACTGTAGAATAATCTAACTCTAAATCAATCGATGGCCTATTGAGAAGCAATGAATGTGAGGGCATGCCCCTTCGGGAAAACTAACGTTTCAAATACGAACTGAAAATATGTTTATTTCCATAACGCGTGAACAGATTCACCAAGCAAGTTGCTCAATGCACTCCTGTATACCACGACTAGTAGGCTACCGTTTTCAATGCTCACACCATTCATGGAATTCCTATCCACCACTAGTTTACCAATTATTTTTTAATTGCATAACCTACATCAGTAGTATGGGATATTTACAAAAAAGGTAATAAAAGGTAAAGGTAAATCAAAGTTTTGGTATGGGGTCATGAATTTGGTTCAAATGAACATATTGGAAGCATATGCGCTCCTACAATATTCAGTGATCGTTGTCACGGTTGAAATCGAGTCTAAAGTCATGAAATTGTAAATAATAAACTCTTTATGTTGTATAGCTCCCTCTCAAGGTCAAAATATTAATTATGCTATAAAACAATTTTTCTTGACTAAAATCGATCGATTGGCTATCCCCGTTTGGAAATTAGATATCACAATAACACTCTGAGATTTTCATGGTCGCAGCTACCATTGTACGGCCGTAGGCGCTACTTGAAATTTATCAAAATTTACCGGGAGCAGCGGTAAATTTTTATATTCAATTTTTCTCTAAAGCAGAAGTGTTTTAGGTGCTAAATTTTTTAGTGCTTATAATTCATCCACAGGGGCATCCAAATATATCAAAATTGTAAAGAATCACTATCCACCCAATTTTCTAAATTTCCCAAAACTTTGTATTACCTTTAATGCAAAGGTCAAAACCCAGTTTTATCATGCGTCTAGTTATAGTAGGTTTATACTTAATGCAAGGGGTGTAGCACCTGAGCAAGTAGTCTAATCATTTTCACGAATACCCTGATAAATAAAATAAGTAAAAATGGGGACACCTCCGAATACATCACAAGTGGAAGCAAGCAAACAGACATCTCACATTTAACAAGCATTTCTCTCGCCATCAAGATACTTCCGAATAGGAAATTAACTGTGTATAAGGACCGAGATTTTGTCCCTTCAAGCATTACACATTTTGTTTGTTTCTATCAAGGAAAAAAATGCACATACTGTAACTACCCCCCCCCCAACACAATCGACGTTGATCATAACCTTGTAGCACGATCGCTGAGGGAAAAGTACGTCAAAAGTTTTCTTATGATAATTAATAGAAGTATTTTCAAATATCGTTCCCATTATATTCGACAAAACCAAGGTACTTTTGCATGTACAATAGGCAACTATAATGTACATTAACACTTTGCATCTTGGTAGAACGCAGGGTCGTTGGAGCGAATTGCAAAGTGGGGGGGGGGGGGCAACAACAAAGGGCACTTTGGGGGAAGGGCACCTACAAAGGGAATTCTCAAGGAGAAAATATACCATTTTATAAACATTGGTATATACCCCTACATTGTGCTTACATTATAAGGGATGATTTCAATATTTGTTTCTCTTTATACATAATGCAAGATATTGCTTAAGCATCATACTTTGCAGTTTGGTGAGATGGTCTGAATGTGCATTTACGAGCGAGCGAAGCGAGCGAGAAAAATTTTAAAGATCTGTAAGGTCGCAGTGCGAAAAATTACATCTTATAAAAAAAGAAATACCCAATCCTGATGGTGGTATCAGCACATTCTCATAACAGAAGACTGAAAACTGTAATAAGTAACATAATTATATCATCTATAAATGCGAGCGAGCGAGCTAAGGGGGGAAATTGCTCTTAGTTGCTTTAAATTAGGGGCATCTTACATCCGAAAAAATGCAATCACCAGGGATGAAAAAGGGCATTTATGAGAATAGGAAATGGACATTTGTCGAAGGAAAAAGGGCACCCATTATATTTTGATAGCGGGGGAATTTATGAAAAGGGTCTAGGTCCCTTATCAGATAAGAAAGGGGCAAATTAAATTGTTAAAAAGGAAATTATCAGAGATGAAAAGGGGCACTTATCGCATCTCAATAGGGGCACTAACCAGATATGAAAAGGGGCACTCATGAAAATAAAAAAGGGGCACATATGTTAAAGGATATGTGCATTTGTTGAAAAAAAAGCGGCACCGGGCATAGCCGGGCATCTATCGAAGGAGAAAGGGGTTTTTATGAGAAGGGGGAAGTGACACTTATAAGAAGGAAAAGTGCATTATTAGAAAGGAAAAGGGATACTCATCAGAGATGAAAGAGCACTTATCAGGAGGGAAAGGGGAATTTTTCAAGGTAAAACGAGCATCTCTCAGATTTGAAAAGGGGCAATTATCGGAGGTGAAGTGGGCACCAATCTGAAGTGAAAAGTAGTAATTTTCGCGTACCTGAAAAGGGTCATTTACAAAATATGAAAAGGGATCTTATGAGGATAATAGTGGACACTATTGATAGGTGAAAAGGGGGCATTTATGAGACGGAGTTCTCCTTTCTTTAATGGGGGGACTTATCATCGGGAAAAGGGGCACTTATTAGAAAGGAGAAGGGGCACATGTGAAGAAAAAAGGTGCTCTTATCCGAGTTAAAAAGGGGTAGTTATTAAATGGGAAAGGGGCACTTCTTACAAAGGAAAAGGAGGCACCTCTCAGATTTGAATATGGCAATTATCAGAGATGAAGGGGTCACTTATCAAAAGTGAAAGGGGGCATTTCTGGTACCTGAAAAGGGCCACTTACCAGAGATTAAAAAGGGCACTTATGAGAATGGAAAATGGACACTTATTGCAAAGAAAAGTGGAAATTGTCGAAAGGAAAAGGGCATGTCTCAATATAAAAGGGGCATTTATCAGGGGTGAAAAGGGGAAGGGTCGCTTTTACAAAGTAATAGAGGCACTTTTCCTATTAAAAAAGGGACACTTCTTACGAAGTTAAAGGGGCACTTTGGGGGTACTTGAAAAAGTGGGGGCACTGGAATACAAAATTAAGTCGAGTAGCTTTCTTATAATTTGTTCTGATATTTTTTTCAAAATGTATTTGATATCAGATTTTGAGTTTTGAACAAAAAGTGGATATAGTAAATTTGTATATAATCAAAACAATTATCATACGGGTCGTTTCCGTCCGAAAACCTTTTTCCATTGAGTGTCATTAATAATTCATTTCTCTAATTGTGTACAAGAGGAGCTCTCGAAGTCAGGCGCAACTCATAGGGCTACTGTTTTCTTCTCAATTAAGTACTGACACACAAAGATATTTCGGCTTTCTGTTTGTCAAATAGTGAAATTCTGATCAAACGACTGAGAGCAACTTCTGAAAAGATACTTAGATGAAAATAATGTCCCAAAACATATTCCAAACAAATGTTAACACCCTTCAACAATGTGCACATTTCAGACTGAAACGGCCTTCAACTTATAATGATCAAAAGTGTATTTTTTAAACTCCCAGTATAAAAGTAAACAAAACCACCAATAAGTCGCCAGATGTGGATTTTTTGTTTTGGTCTGATTCTTTGGTCTGGTCTATAAAGGTCTATACTCTGACTGATGATAGCAGCTCCAATAGGACATTAATGATTTTGCAATACTACCGTGTGAGTCAAAAAAAAATTACACCTAGAAAATTGCTTATTATTTTTAAAATCATCTATGAATAGTAAATTATTATACATCATATGAAAGAGCGTTTTATCTCAAATCATATGTTATTCATTCATTCAGCCATTTCCATTAAGACGATGTACATAAAACCTTAATATAATCAATACACAGATTTCAAAATAGCTATATACAAACAGAACTGGGTCCACATGGTAGATGATATCACGATTTACCTCCCAAAAAAGTTCCTGATTACCCAGAAGAAAAAAAAAAAAAAAGGAAAAGCTATAAAAGAAAAAAGGATTTATGAAAATCACATCAGGCAAAATATTGGCAATAAGAACCTTATAGTTCCTCATTGTCTATGATCGACATCCTTCCTCATGATAGATGTTTCTTCGGATTAGGCCAATTTAGTTTCATACGTTATTCATTCATTCAGCCATCTCCATTAAAGGTAATACAAAGTTTTGGGAAATTTTGAAAATTGGGTGGACAGTGATTCTTTACAATTTTGATATATTTGGATGCCCCAGTGGATGTATTATAAGCACTAGAAAATTTAGCCTCTTAAACACTTCCGCTTTTGAGAAAAATTGAATATATAAAATTTACCGGTGCTCCCGGTAAATTTTGATAAATTTCAAATAGCGCCTACGGCCGTACAATGGAAGCTGCAACCATGAAGATCTCAGAATATGTAGTTTGTGATATATAATTTCCTAACGGGAATAGCTGATCGGTCAATTTTAGTAAAGAAATGTAGTTTTAAAACTTAATTAATATATTGACCTTGAGAGGGAGCTTTACAACACAAAGAGTTTATAATTTACAATTTTATAACTTTAGACTCGATTTCAACCGCGACAACGATCACTGAATATTGTAGGATCGCATATGCTTCCAATATGTTCATTTGAACCAAATTCATGACCCCATACCAAAACTTTGAATTACCTTTAAGACGATGTACATACAACTTTAATATAATCAATACACAGATTTCAAAATAGCTATATACAAACAGAACTGGGTCTCCATCAGGGCTCAAATTAATTTTTTGCCCACGGGGGCTCTTCCAAAAAAAAAGAGCCCCCGTGAGTCTTCTCACGGGGGCGCTTTTCGTGTTAACGGGGGCTCTTATTTTAATACAAATTTCCATTGAATTGGTACCCGTGAAATTCCTTGGTATTTTATCATTATCATTTATCTAAGTCAGTATTTTTCCTCTTAGAAATTTACTTGTTACATAGCTGTTATTGACTTATTTACATTCTTTCTTTACTTTTAGTCTTTACCATATCCTTCCAAAACACAGGGGCGGATCAAGCTTTTTGCTAAGGGTGGGGGGGAGGGGTGGGGTACCCCAAATACGATGTGGAGCATCGTCCACGAGCCGCGCAGCGGCGAGGCGATTTTTGTTGTTGCTATTTTGAACCCCCGTAAGTGGTGTTTTCCTGGCATTTACTAACATGCGGATCATCGTCCACGAGCTGCGAAGCGGCGAGGCGATTTGTTGGTAATTTTTTGAACCCCCGTTAGTGATGTTTTCCTGGCATCTACTGACATCTACTAATACTGTGTAGGTCTGGACACATGATAGCATTTTTCTGTGCACATCACATCTTTCCTTGGCAGCCCAAGGGGGAGGGGGGGGGGGGTAAACCCTCTAAACCGCCTAGATCCGCCCCTGCAACATCTTATGCCTTCTTCTTCTTCTCAACATTGATTTACTGGTCGGGTTACATTATTTGCTGGTCTTTAAGAATCACCAGATTTCAGAGGATTCAAACTTTCACAACGAAAAACTTCTCCATGTTTCAGTCCTTGCGCGATTGTCGATCTCCAGCTCCAGCAGATATTGGGCGTCAGCGTGCACACCGGTACTACCAGCGCAGTAAAGCCACTGTCCTGACGGCCGCACCGCGAGCTTCCGTTGTTTGTATCGGGAATACTCGTAGAGATGGTAGAGAAAGCGCCATCTAAGTTCCATTTCATTGGTTTAAGGTTTGAAAATTAATACTCAATATTGTGTTAAAGTTATATCAGAAAAGATAATCTTTATTTTATAATTCCACGGGGGCGATTTTTAATTTTGCGATCGCCCCCGTGAGCAACCTGACGGGGGCGATTATGGAGCTCACGGGGGCGAATCGCCCACCGCCCCCGTGTATTTTGAGCGCCATTCTCCATGGTTGATGATATCACGATTTAACTCCCAAAAAAATTCCTGATTACCCAGAAGAAGAAAAAAAGGGAAAGCTATGAAAGAAAAAAGGATTTATGAAAATCACATCAGGTAAAATATAGGTTTTCCCGCCCAACTTCGTAAACTTAGCATCCGAATTAACGTTACGTTCATTCAATTTCGTGCGAAATTGAATGACTATGTAGATCAACATTCAAAAAAGCTAATTGCGTCATTCAATTTGGTTTAGTAGCATGCGATTTCATACTCTTGTCACGAAGACGTGCAAAACGAGCATTCAATTTAGAAAAGCGTGCAAAGAGCATTCGAATTCGCACCGGACAGACGGTGATATGTCTTCGTGCATTCAATATCGTGATTAGACATACACATGTGACATTTGTGCAGAGGCGGCCCTCCCCGGGGGGGGGGGGGGCACAGTGCCCCCCCAATTTTTCAGATATCCCAAAAGTGCCCCTATTACTTAGTAAAAGTGCCCCTTCCCCCTTTTCACCTCTGACGAGTCCCCTTTTTATTTTTGACACGCGCCCCTTTTCCTTCGACATGTTCCCATTTTCCTTTGCAATAAATGTCCATTTTCCATTCTCATAAATCTTGAAATTATCTTGAATAAGTTTTTAATCTCTAAAAAGTGCCTCTTTTCAGGTACGAGAAGTGCCCCTTTTCACTTTTAATAAGTGCCCCCTTCACCTCTGATAATTGCCCTATTCAAAACTGAGAGGTGCTCCTTTTACTTTGACAACTTCTCCTTTTTTCCTTTGTTAGAAGTGCCACTTCTCCTTTTAATAACTACCCATTTTTAAAACTCGGATGATCACACCTTTCATTTTAACATGTGCCCCTCTTATTTCTAACAAGTGCCCTTTTTCCTTATGATAAGTACCCCCATAAAAAAAGAGAGAGCTCCCTCCCCTTCTCATAACTACCCCTTTCCCTTTCTAATAAGTGCCCCTTTTCCTTATGATAAGTGCTCCCATTTAAAAGAAAGAGCTCCTTCCCCTTCTCATAACTGCCCCTTTTAAAAATCTGAACGGTGCCCCCTTTTCATTCAACAAATGCACATTTTCCTTTATTATAAGTGCCCCTTTTCATATCTGGTCAGTGCCCCTTTTCAACTCTGATAATTCCCCTATTAATAATGATACGTGCCCCTTTTACTTTCTAATAAGGGACCTATCCCCTTTTCACCTCTTATAAATGCCCCTATCAAAATCTGATGGGTGCCCCCTTTTCCGTCAACAAATGCCTATTTCCCATTTTCGTAAACGCCTCTTTTTCATCACTGGTGAGTGCCTCTTTTCAGGTGAAAAAAATGCCTCATTTTCACCTCTTATAATTATGCTTTGTACTTTGACACGTGCTCCTTTTCTTTTCTAATAAGTATCTTATCCCTTTCGATAATTGTCCCCTTTTCATGTAATCATTAAACGTGCCCCTTATTTAAAGCGACTAAGAGCAATTTCCCCCAAAGTTCGCTCGCTGCACTCGCTCGCATTTAAAGATGATATAATTATGTTACTTATCAAAGGTCTTTTCAGTCTTCCGTTATGAGAATGTGCTTATAACCCCATCACGATTGGCTTTTTTCCTCTTTATAAGATGTAATTTTTCGCACTGCGACCTTACAGATCTTTAAAATTTTTCTCGCTCGCTTCGCTCGCTCGTAAATGCACATTCAGACATCACACCCAACTGTAAAGTATGATGCTTAAGCGATATATATGTATGAAGAGAAACAAATATTGAAATCATCCCTGATAATGTAATCACAATGTAGGGGTATATACCAATGTCTAACAAATTGTATATTTTCGCTTCGAGATTTCCCACTATAGGTGCCCCTTTTTTCGAGAAAGTGCCCTTTTTTGTTGGTGCCCCCCACTTTGGAAGTCGTTCGGCCGCCCCTGCATTCGTGTATTGCTTTTTATTTGATGTTAATTTGTCACTTAATATACTTCTGTTTGAATAATTTTATGCAAAGTTTACTTGGTGGAATGACATGCGTATTCATTCTGTCATTACACAGGTAACTGTCCCCAGAAAAGGTGCACAATTTGTGACTTCTCTTCTAAGCACAAGCTATATATAAACAGATCTTGGACAGAGGTAGAGTTCAGGTTTAATAGACATGGACATGATGGAAACAAATACAATGGTGAATAAAGAAAAAGATGTTAAATGAAAAGAAAGAAAAATCACCTACTCTATCAAGACTGATCAAAACAAACCACTTAAAAAATAACCCTAAGGCATTTATAATGAAAAATATGAAGCTATGAATAAAGAGATGTTTGAAAAAAAATAAATTTTGTCGAAAGAAACAGAAAACATAAAATGCAATATAAATATATCAGACAAATGAGAAGATTGTATAATGTAAAATCATGTCAGAAAAGATTATAGAGAAAAAGAATAAATAACTGAACATGAAATACTGAATATCTGAATTAACATCGAGCCTCATACTATGATTACGAGGTCTAATTTTAATTTGAATGACCCGATTGCGAAAGAGGTTGCCCATAGACGAAAATGAAATCGCAATTCGCCATAGAATTCTCCTCCCACTCAACATTGGCGAAATTGAATGACCCTTACGCATCTTCGAATTGACTGAACCAAGCTTTGATTTGAATGTGCATGTTTAGAAAGTTCGGTGACTCGAAACGAAATTGAATGCAACAAGTTTAAAAAATGAAACAGGGGAGCAACGAGTGAAGAAAATTTGCTCGAACATGAATGCATGTTAATTAAAAGAATTGCTGCTTTGACGAAATTGGCCGGGAAAACCTATATTAGCAATTATAACCTTATAGTTCCCCATTGTCTATGATCGACATCCTTCCTCATGATAGATGTTTCTTCGGATAAGGCCAAAAAAAAACAAAAAACATTTTTTTTTTATTCACTTTCATTTCAATTCTGATACACTGTACATCCTTACTCATTTCCGGGGTGAGCAGGAGTTGGAGATGTTTACTAGCGTATATATGAAAGTGGGGCAAGGGGCAATTCGCCCCTCCTGACAGGTTTACCACCAGGAAAAAGCATTGTAGAAAGCTGGTAACGAGTCACTGTAAGCAAAGAAATGCATGAAGTGTAGGCATGCTGTTGGTCAACAGACTAACTCTTTCTTCCTTAGTTAAGTCATTATGGGGTGACGCCCCCCTGGTAACGCAAACCAGGACATTCCTTACTGAAGGTATATGAATCACAGTTGGAAATGTTTCGCCCCCCCCCCCCCATCCTGAGGCCAAGGTTTGGATACGCCACGTCTAGGTTTTTTCCTAATTCAACAATACATTAACAAAATACTCGTAATTCATCCAATTATTATTACACATGAAGTGTAGGCATGCTGTTGGTCAACAGACTAACTCTTTCTTCCTCAGTTAAGTCATTATGGGGTGACGCCCCCCCCCCCTGGTAACGCAAACCAGGACATTCTTTACTGAGGGTATATGAATCACAGTTAGAAATGTTTTGACCCCCCCCCCCATCCTGAGGCCAAAGTTTGGATACGCCACGTCTAGGTTTTTTCCTAATTAAACAATACATTAACAAAATACTGGTAATTCATCCAATTATCATTTACCTCAAGTCAGAACTTTGATTTCCCATAACTCAATATTTGTTAAAGGTCCTTCTCTATGGGGCAACTTCCCTCCTGCACTAAACATCTGCCCATCACTTAATTCTTTTAAACGCCGTTATAAATATGCAGGCTGAATATTTTGTTGTTGTTCGTGTGTGCTCTGTGTATGTTACAGTCTTTCGATTGTGTAATTATATAGTTTCTGTGGCCGGGTATTTATGATAGGTTACAGTATAGGATTGTTAAATCTTTAATGTCCTATTGGAGATGCTTTCCTCAGTCAGAGTGTAGACCTCTAAGAAAAAAATTATAAAATAATTTGTCAAAAGGAATACTAGCATTATTTTTGAGTTGCTGTCTTGTTAGATATGAAATAGATAAAATTTGAAAATACTCTGACAAAAGTATGTCAAATACTTTGCATTAAGCTATGGCGTTGCAAAGTCTTAGATATTCTAATAAATGAAATGTATTCTTGCCCTTCGCTGTACAATATTCCTTTATACGAAAATATACAAGAGATGTACATATATTAAGACATTCTTTGTAAGATGTGATGCCTACAATCATAGCTGAGAAGATAAACATTATATTTGGTGAATATATATATATATATATATACAGGGGAACAATTGTAACTAACTCATTTTTAGAATACTTAAATATAGTAGTTGACAAATCTATTTCATTTATGAAAAACCTTCGCCACAGAAGATCACCAACCTATTTATGCAATTTGTGGTCTGGCAATTCGTCCCTGTTTTCACGAAGTGACGGTAGTGAGGAAAATCGTAACGCAAAGTGTATGCGATTTTTATTCACTACCGTCACTTCGTGAAAATAGGGACAAATTGTAGTACAGAGTATAATAGCAGGTGAATGAAATGCTTCATTACCAAATATACCTCGGAATGAAGCATCCATACATTTGAATACATTAACTAGATTTCGACTTCACCCCCCCCCAACTCCGTGAACGGAAGAATACCATGCGTGTTCCCAAACTCTCTGGGTACACGCATATGCACTGAATTGGGGGGGGGGGGGGGCTTTATATAGTACGTCACGTCATCAAGAAAATGGCGATGCCCATTTCGTGCTGAGAAACTGTACATTATTCTTGCTTTATGCCTCTCTCGTACATTTTGGCGTCAATCTATACCCAGGGACGTCAATCCGTTTTGTATGGGGGGGGGGGGGGGAACTAAAATCTGAGTGTCCAAGTAGAGCGTAGCGAGCGTTATGTAGGACTCATTCCCTAAATGGTATCATCTGTCAATCATTAGTGAGCTAACACGAGACAGTGGTAAGAAGATTCACCAGAGCTGACCACCTGTTTACAATAGACCATACAATACCTACATAGGAGTTGCTATATAATGTCAGACGTGCTGTATAGCATCACCAGGAAAAGAAAGGTAATGTGGAGGTATTGTATGAAAGCATGCTATTCTTTTGTGAACATATACTGAGCTGAGGAATTTACATACCACTGTCTCTTGTTAGCTCACTAATGATTGACAGATGATGTCATAAGGGAATGCAATCTGGAGCATTATTTTAGGGTGAAGCTTAGCAGGTCTGAGAATTTTTTTTTTTTAATTTAAAAATCTTTGAAATATATTTAGATGTTTGAATAACAAAATATGAGTTGTTTGCAGTCCTGCACATCAACATGATTCGACTTATATCTGCAAAACTGGTTTGACAAATGGAAGAAAGTCTATGCGTTTTAAGATCTGAAAACCCGTGAAAACCAAGAGCTTCCGGGGCTCCGCCCTCTGGACACCAAGCCGTATAATGCTCGCTAAGCTCTACTTGGACACTCAAATTTCGGTGCCCCCAATACGATAAGGATTGACGCCCCTGGGTATAGTTAGTTTCGATTCTTTAACAGAAGTATTTCTCAGCTCAAATGTATCCCGAGTAGTTTGAGAATGTAAACGATAGATAATAGTCTCACGTAAATTGATATGCGATAATACGGAACTAAGTTTTAGCAACCCTTCTCTTTTCTCAATGGTTCATTTTAATCAACAAGGGTTAACCATTTTAATAAACATTTTTTTTTTCGATTTAGGGAAACGAGAAGAAATGTTTCCAATAACGTGTCTTTGGGAAGCGGTACCTGATATTCTTTATCTTTACTAATATGATTGTTTAAAAAATAAAACTGTGTACATATAAATCAAGTGTTCTTAATACTCCTGAGATTTCAAGGCCAAAGCTCAGAGTTTCAGCCAAATGAACAGAGCCAGTTTGTTAAGGGAATCTACATCTGAAATCTTTTTCCTCCAATTAGTTTTAAAACTTTGCAAATATCATAGGTTGGCGATAATCTTTAATCTTATGATAACTATCTTTGCAGAAGAGGTGACATCTTATGACTAAAGCATGTGGAATATTTTGTTACGGGGTTTATACGAAGTCAAGATTTAGGTGACATGTTGCTTTAATATAAAAAGTAAAAAAGAAATGCATGGGGTTTAAAATATAAAAGCCCTTATTTCCAGAAAGTCGGGAGCAATATATTTATATATATATATAGAGGAGACAGAGAGAGAGAGAGAGAGAATATTGTTCCTACTTTTAAGTTACATGCATGTAACAGCTAAACATTATTTTTAAACGATTATGTTCTTTAGTCACCTTTACTAACCGTAAGAGGTTGGGCATAAAACGGAAAACATGACTTAGTTGACAATTCTCAGGTATACCGCCCCTTAAACAATATATATATATGCTCACATGACCATGATGACATTTACATATAATCATCGACTCGGTCATGATCACCCCTGTTCGCAAACAATCACACACCAAAATGCATTTTAATGGATGGAAGCAAATTACCTTGTATCAATATCGCAAAACAGAAGAAAGTAGACAGAGATGATAAAAACAGTTTCAGCACTTTTAATGTTGCCATCTTTCTCCAGTATTCTCCGCAACATCCAAATCCAGCACCCTGATTTTCCACAAGTATTCTCAATCGACTGTCAGCCGTATACCGTGAACTCTCAACTGACGTTCAATGTGAATATTCCCAAACAAAGATAGCGTCTTATACCTCTTTTACCCGGAACTGAATCCATGATGTTATATGATATCAAGTCTGTCGCGATAAAGCTGAAGGCAGGGCAATCTAACCGAAATACATTTCAACGAAATTGCAATCATTCAATTTTAAAGTATTAACCCTTAAGCAGCCAAAACCTTGCCCATGCATTCACATAGAAATTCCAAGTAAGTGCAAACTTATGAAGAGAGCCTCCTACAGAAACTCAGTTTCTTTTGGTTTTCCTAAATCATTGGTTGATGGCTTTTTCTTTACTGTTATTGTATTAATGTAATTCGTTTTCTTGTATTCTTTTTTATTGTATTAATGTAATTCGTTTTCTTGTATTTTTTGTTATTGTAATACTCCTTATATTCCTGGAAATGAAACAAAATGAAATGAACGTGTCCACTGGTAGTAAAGCTGTGGATTTGCTTATTGGCTAAAAGGGAATTAAACCTCTCGACTAGGAAGCATTATATACCTCTCTTTAGAAATCTAGCCATCTGATTGGTCGAAATTGGAGTAGTGATTTTTAGCTTTGCCCACCTTCCGGTCAATAGTTTTATAAAAGATGCCCGTTGCCCCGGGTAAGTACGGGCCGCATGTATAAATTTTGCTGAGTTCCCCATTGGTTGACGTGTAAAAAGTTTCTTTGTGCGAGCGTGGATTCAATACAGTGATTTTTGTCTGCGATTCCCGAATGATCGCTACATTTAGGCAAATTTCCAGCGAAGACTAATTAAAGACAGTGTCTCAGATTTTCTGTGATGTTTTAACCAATCTTTACTCAAGGAAAGGATGAGGTAATAATTCTTTGTAGATTTGTTTGTGAATTCGGTATATAAAAGATATATGGACTGCTTTGATATTCGAAGCGTAGCTGTTTCTATACTGACTCTCGGGGACGTTACATCCTGGCGCGCCTCGGGGTTATAGCAGGATGTAA